AGAGGTTTATATTAATATCTTTTATAGTAATAATAGTTACTTCTCTAAATAGATATCTTAGATAAGTGTGAAAAGTTTAGTAATTTAGCTTAAAAGAGCTAAATTTATTACTTTAGTTAGAAAGATAGATCTAAAGCTAAAGGATTTATATATCCTATTTAAAGTTAGTAATAGTTTTAGATATATTTTTATAAATTAAAGTATTATTTAGATTATTAAAATAGATATTTATTTTCTAAAAAAGACTAATATTAATAATTTATATTATATTATAAGGTTTATAGAGAGTATTATATAATTAGAAAGTAGTTTTTTTACTACTTAGTTTAATAGTAATTACTCTAGTTATACTAATAGCTTAACTAATTTAGTTCTTTCTATTTATATAGTTTATAGTTAATCTTTAAAAGAGATCTTAAAGTTTTTTAAAAATAGAGAGATTATTAAGAATATACTTATTAGTATTAATATTTAGTATAAAGGAGTTTATTCTCTTAATAGAAGCTATAGATATAATATATTAGTATAATTATACTTCTTAGCTATTATTTTCTTCTTTATTAGCTTTCTTAATAGTATTATATATAAAAAAACTATTAGTCTCTATTTCTATAGTTTAGCTAATAGAACTATAAATAAAGTATTTAAATATTTTTATTAATTACTTCTTAACTCTCTATATATAGTTAACTTTATATAGATCTTTAGTAAGAGATTAAAAGTTAAAGTATAAACTAAATACTTTAAAGTTATTTATTAAGAATAATAGAAGAGTTCTTTTTTAAGCTTAAGCTAATAAAGTATTTATAAAAGCTTTAGATAGTTAGTTAATATCTTATTTAATACTAAAGTTTCTAAAGATACTATTTTAGGTTTAGCTTTCTAAGATAAATACTAAAGTAAATACTTATATTATTAATTATTAAGTTATTAGTAGTTTATTTAAGTATTTAAACTTATTATATACTAAGGTATAATATTTAAAGTATTTAAGAGAATACTTATTATACTTCTTAAAGTATTAAGTTATTTTTCTATAATAGGAGTTATATATTTTATACTTATAGAGGTTCTTAAGATATTTAATATTATAAGAGGTATAAGGGTTTTATAGTTTATTAAGTTTAATTACTTAAAGTTACTTTTTAGAGGGAAACTTCTTTTTATTTAAAGAAATATTAATACCTTAAGAGGCTTACTTATATTATTCCTTTTCACTAAAGCTTCTAAGTTCTTATAAGAAGTTATTATAAGTTTAAAGTTTTATAATAAAGTTATTCTCTATAATATTTATTTTTATTTAATTAAAATATTTAAAACCTTAGATAAGTCTATAAGTAAAAGCTATAGTTAATAAGCTTATATTAGAGCTATTTAGTTTATTAAAAGTTAAATAAAAATCTTATATAAAATCTTTAGTATTATTATAGTTAATTTTAGTTATTCTATTTTAGTTATTATAGATTTTATTTATAACTAGTTTATTAAACTTTTAAGTATATTCTTTAGTTTTAATAAAAATATAGAAAACTAAAGTTATAATAAAAAGATTATTATTAATTATTTCTTCTAAGAGATTATATTAGATCTTTTCTATAAATAACTATTTAGTAAGTATAAAACTTATAAATATTAGATTACTTAAAGAACTTAGATTTTTAACTATTATTATTTTATCTTTTTTAAAAATTATATCTTTATTATATTTATTTAGTATCTTTTTAGCTATTAAATAAAAAAGTAATTTTATTATTTTAAAAGTATTCTTAAGATTAATCTCTTATAGTTTAAAGTTTATAGTTTTAGTTAGTTTAGAGATAATATTATATATTAGATTTCTTAGATTTAATCTCTTACTAACTACTTTCTATATAGCTACTCTAACTATAAAGTTTATAATAAAAAAAGGAGGAAAACTAATTTAAAATAATCCCTTTCTAATAGAGCTAAAAAAAAAAAAAATTAAATTACTAATTAAAAATATATTATTTTATTTAATTAATTTAGTAGTTTAAGAGAAATTTAAATAATAATTAAGAGTAATTATTAAATAGTTATTAAATAGTTATTACTATATAATTATAGTAATTATTAAATAATTATTAATTTTAATAGTTTAAGAGTTAAGAAGATTTTATAAGTAGGGGATATATATTATAATAACTATAACCTCTACTTAAAAGTATTACTTCTAGTAACTTAATAATCTATTAATTACTTTATAGTAATTATTAAACTATAAAGTTAGAGTTTTAATAGCTACTTAGGAATAACTTTACTATTTAGTAGATAGATTTAAGTATTTAGAAAACTTATAACTTATATAAAGTAGCTTAATTAATCTAGCTATAAGTGCTAGGCGTAGCTAGCTATAAAGTAGTGTAGCTGATCCCTTATATAAAGGTGGGATTTAGGCTGGGATTTGGGCCTTGGGCCTGGGCCCGGCTAACTACCGTCTCGCAGATGCAGTGCAACCGCGTCCTCACTCGCAATCCGTCGCGTGAACATTCCAAATGACACCATCGTCCACCAAATCACGGCAGCTTATTTGGCGCAAGGCACCACAGACAAATGTCTCGCTCCTCCGCCTCCTTCAGCCATCCTGAGCGCCTGTGACCTTCTGAATATGGTTAAGTGACCCCTTCCCGAACCCCGGCGCGACGCAGCGACACTATTACCAGCCACCATGGCAACCATGAACGCGATAAGATAACGAGCTTGCTCGGTCAATACAAGCAGGTGGAGCTGAGGTGGGCAGCAGCCGGGCCCGTATCGGCTTGAGTCAATCGGCGAGTCGTGCTTTCCCCCCCGATTTGGGTGTCTGTTGCGTTGAAGCTTCCGGCGGCTCGCACATCCGATTCCAAAGCTCCAGCTGGCTTCATCCTCGCCCACGTCCACCACTCCTCGTTCCTCGGCTCGCGCTCTTATTCCTCCACAGGCATATCGTCTCCAGCAAGCTCACCGCACATTGCATCTCGCGCAATCACACCGCTGACTTGTTCAATTGCTGGTGCACGTGTGCATTGCATCAAAACATCACCAAAACACCACAACGCCCTCCCTCGCGATAACACCAACAACAACTTCCAACCATGACCAAACACACTCCCGACTCTCTCCGCACCCGCGTGTCCTCCCTCTCTCTCCGCCTGCAAGCAATGGAAGCCGCCGAAGCCCTCTCCCGCTCGCAATCGCCCGCGCCCTCGATGGCCGCCTCGACAACCATCCCCGTCACGGCGTCCAAGCCCTTCCTCCTCGCCGACATGGAAGGCCGCCCCGCCGCCTCCAACCCCGTCTGCGAGTCCTGCTGGAACGCCCTCCGCTACAGCGAGGTGAAGCAGACCTCCCGCGCCGCCTCCCCGGCCGCCTGCAAGCTCTGCGCCGTCGCCGCGGGCAAGCCCGAAGCCTACACCCAGCCCTTCGTCGACTTCCTCACCGAGAACCCCACAATCTTCCACGCCGTCTCCTACTTCAAGACCAAGCTCGCCGCCGCAGGCTTCACCGAGCTGCCCGCCCGCGACAGCTGGAAGCTCCAGCCCGGCGGTAAGTACTGGACCACCAAGAACGGCTCCGGCCTTATCGCCTTCACCGTCGGCGAGGCCTACAAGCCCGGCAACGGCGTCGCCATGATCGCCGGCCACATCGACGCCCTCACCGCCAAGCTCAAGCCCGTCTCGACCAAGCCCACCCGCGCCGGCTACCTCCAGCTCGGCGTCGCCCCCTACGCCGGCGCCCTCAACCAGACCTGGTGGGACCGCGACCTCTCCATCGGCGGCCGCGTCATCGTCCGCGACGAGTCCGACAAGACCACCACCAAGCTCGTCCGCCTCGACTGGCCCATCGCCCGCATCCCCACCCTCGCGCCGCACTTTGGCGTCGGCATGATGGGCCAGAACAACCCCGAGACCCAGGCCGTGCCCATCATCGGCCTCGAGAGCTCCTCCGACGCCGCCTCCAACACTCCCGTTGAGCCCCTCGGCCCCAAGGGCTCCTTCGTCAACACCCAGCCCCCCAAGCTTGTCAAGCTCATCTCCTCGGAACTCGGCCTCGCCTCCCCAACCCAGATCGTCAACTGGGAGCTCGAGCTCTACGACTCCCAGCCCGCCCAGACCGGCGGCCTCGACCGCGAGTTCATCTTCGGCGGCCGCATCGACGACAAGCTCTGCTCCTGGGCCGCCTTCACCGGCCTCCTCGCCGCCGAGTCCTCCCCCTCCGACGGCGTCATCAAGCTCGTCGCCCTCTTCGACGACGAGGAGATCGGCTCCCTCCTCCGCCAGGGCGCCCGCTCCAACTTCCTCCCCCTCACAATCGAGCGCGCCGTCGAGTCCCTCTCCGCCGCCGCCGACGTCCCCTTCGGCTCCAACGTCCTCGGCCAGACCTTCGCCTCCTCCTTCCTCGTCTCCGCAGACGTCACCCACGCCGGCAACCCCAACTTCCTCGGCTACTACCTCGACGACCACGTCCCCCGCCTCAACGTCGGCATCGCCATCTGCGGCGACAGCAACGGCCACATGACCACCGACGCCGTCTCCACCGCCATCCTCCAGCGCGTCGGCGAGCTCGCGGATGCGCCCACCCAGACCTTCCAGATCCGCAACGACACCCGCAGCGGCGGCACCGTCGGCCCCGCGCTCAGCAGCGCCATGGGCGTCAAGGCGGCTGACGCCGGCCTGCCGCAGCTGAGCATGCACTCCATCCGCGCGACGACCGGTGCTCTGGACCCTGGTCTGGGCGTCAAGTTCTTCAAGGGCTTCTTGGACCACTGGGAGAAGATTGACGGCGAGTGGCACTGAGAGGCGCCAGTTGCTAGAGAGGATAGGCGTATATAGAAGTAAGAGTTCCAGCGCGGCGTAAAGAGTAGACGAGGACAGAGTATGATTTATGAAATGGCTTGTAGAATATGTATCAGCACAAGACGCATCAGCATGGATGCAATTCAAAGCAATTTTCAAGAAAAGTGTCTCATTATCGTGACAGACATTAAAGCCTTATAATTACTATTAAGCCCGCCTGGTTCCCTGCCGTGCGTCGTCACCCAGCTCCCGTGCCTCTCTAATCTCCATCGAGTCCGCCTCAGACGCCGCATCAGATCTATCCCCATCATCGTCATCGTCGTCATCACTGCCGGACCCATCGTCGCTGGCCATGCCCCCGGCCTCCTCCAACTGCGGCTCGACCTCTTCAATGGGTTTCTTCCTCTTCTCAAAGTCCTGCCGATGCGCCTCGGCCAATATCGAGGTGAAAGTCCTCTGCGGCGGCGGCATCGCGACGCTCGACTTGCGCCGTCTGACGGTACCCTCCTCCATGCGACGCGACGACGACGTGGTAGCCCCGCTGGCGCCTGCCGTGCCCGGTGCGTCCGCGGTGCCCGTCGTCTCAAGCACGGCGCCGTCCTTGCCGGCGTCGCTGATGGTCGGCGAGCGCGAGGGAGACTCCGACGGGTAGGGAAGGGGCACGTCGCGGGAGGCCTTGCGCGCTGTGACGTTTGCGCAGTGCTCGTTCTCGACGCGGAAAAGGGTCCACATGCCGCGGCGGGAGACCTCTGCGAGGGCGACGAGGAAGGAGACGATCGTGGAGTGCTGCGTGTCGTGTGTGAAGATTGCGTAGAAGATCCAGGCCCAGCGGAGGATGGGGTCGACGACGGCGATGAAGTAGTAGGGCCACGTCTTCTTGAGGGCTCTGGTTTGACGGAGGACGGGCAATTTGCTGGGCTTCCCGTCGGGCTTGCCGTTGGGCTTCTTCTTGGGGTTGGGGTCCAACAAGGAAAAGTCCATGAAGATGTCCCAGATTGCTGAGGGTGACTGTTAGTTGCTGGACTGAGAGAACTTGGTGGCAAGTACCTACATGTGTAGATGGCGTTAACTGTGGAAAAGGTAATGAACATGGCCAGGTTGCCTCTGGTGTTGTTGATGCGGTACATTGAGAGAGACATTGCGGCGAGGATGGACATTGTGTACTTTCCGCCGTTGATGAGGTGCGGGAAGATGTTGCGGGTGTCTCTGTATCGGCGCAGGCATTGGAGGAAGCGCCAGATCGGGGGAAGTGCACCTAGGAAGCCTAGAAGGCGGGAATGGTTCGAATTACACTGGACTGGGTTGTCCCATGCATTGGCATAGACGCAGAAGAAAAGCTCGACGTTCTATGAACAGTCAGATATGCCACGGTAGGGAGACATTGAGGTACACTTACACACATGGCGTAGGTCAGAGAGCAGTAGATGTCGCCGAGGAAAAAGTCTCGGAACTCGACTGGGTAAAGACCAGCGAGCAAGAGACGCCACTGTCGAGTGTTGTTAGATGGCGCAATACAATCATTTTAACAAGCAGCTGACTTACATGAGAATATGCGAACCATTTTCGACTCCTAGCTTTGAGAACAGGGAGGGGAAGGAAAATGATAAGGGCTGATACGAAGATGAGAGCGACAGGATAGTACTCGTACACCTCGTCCGAACCGTAGGAGCTAAAGTTCAGCCACAGGAAGAGGCCGAAAATGAACGTAAATAGGCTTGGAAACTCGGCTAGCTGCCGCCAGTCGAGGTTGTTGCGTGTATCGAATTCGAAGATGAAGGGATAGTTGATCTTGTTCCTGGTCCATATGGCACAGTTGATGCAGAACATGCAGAACAGCAGGAGCATGAAGAAGTAACCGCCGTAAATCTGCAACAGGTAGCTCGTCTGCTCGCGGACGTGGGCGTCATGGTCCCACAAGAGCTGGACACCCAAGATGGCGCCTTGGATGCCAAAGACAGCACCAGTCCCGAGGAGAATACCGCACCTAAAGGCGCTGCCAGACTCGTCTCTAGGTTTACGAGCCATGCTTCGCAGCTTACCCGCAGCGATTTTGTGGTTGCCGCGCTCAAAGTAGCGGGCGTATAGGTCCTCGACGGCCTTGATATGTCCATCTAGGGCGTCGCTGTTGACGAACCACGACTTGTTCACCTTCTCGGTCATATAACGGTACTGAGGGCGGGCATTGATGGCCTTGTCGTACTTCTTATTCAGCTTGCGGAACGCAGTCCGGTTGAGGATGGCGTAGGACTTGAGGAGTTCCAGGCCACGGTAAAATTCCTGGAGGGCAAGCTTCAACTTGCGCTTCGCGGACCGGTAGGGAACTTCATGCTCTGGTGGTCGACGGATGTAGTCCATCCTCGCGTCTTGGCCCTCTCTAGGACGCATGACTGGGGTGGGAGCCATTTTTGACAAGTTCCTGGAGTTGGGTCCTGGTCTGAAGATCTTAGACCTAACCGGATCAATCCAGCCAAGTGGACCGTTCTTCGCACCGTCGCCATGTCCGTGGTGGCCGTGCATGAACTCCATCTCGGCCTGTTGCTTTTGAGCGTTGAGCTCCTGGGTTCGTCGGTTTCTCATTTCGTGAAGCTGCTCCTTAAGCACCTTGAGGCGCTGTCCAGCCTCGTCCTCCTTCTCCTTGTAGAACTTTTCCACCGTGTTAAGCTGATCGTCTAGGAAATTTTCGAATTCTGCCTTTTCGATTCCCCCGGGCTCCATTGCCAGTGCCTGCATACCGTATTCGGGGTTCGTTCCAACCCGATTGAGGGGTGAAGACCCCGTAAACCACCTTCGCAAGCCGCGTCTTGGCGAGCCACTTACAGACCCGATGGTAGCGGAGTGAGGGAGCCTCATTGACGAAGGAGAGTGCGTCTGTTCAGGCGCAGAGGGCTGATTGCTTCGTGGATCCGTCATCATGGATGCGCTGCGCTGTAGAGCCTGCCTGGCCATTGGGCTTTCCTGAGCATGAGCCCCTTCAGCACCCTGGTCCGTCGTCCGGGAAGGCACCCTCATCGCAGGGTCAGGAAGCTCGAAGGTCGGCCGCCGATCGAGGGGAGCTCCCTCGTGCTGGGGCGGCGTATGCACGAAGCTACCATATTGCATATCATTCGAGCCACTCGTCAGGGTCTGGTGTTCGTGGTTCGCAGGGATCGCTTGCGCAGGCGTCATGGGCTTCTGTCGGGCAGAGCCGACCGGGGCAGAACCCTCTCGCAGCGATGTTCTCTCGTCGGGATTCGTTTCCCTCGCATTGTCGCTATTGAAGAAGTTGGATGTTCCGCGGTTGTTGAGCTTGCCCGAGTTCCCTTGCGGACTACCATTGGCGCGATTGATGGCGCGAGACACTTTCTTAATGAGCTTCTTGCCGGCCTTGTAATCGAGGTATTTGACGCGCCATTCTGTTCAAGGGACACTGCATTAGCAAATCGCAAGACAATCGCCAGAGACAGGCGCATGGGGGAGGCTTTCGCACCTGGCACAAGGTCCTGCTCGAGCTCCTTTGCGAACTTCATGACGTAGTGGCGCCCTTATGCGCGGCACAGCGAAGCACTGCTGGGACAGTAAACGCCATGAAACGGAGGGGTTGGCTCTCAAGGTTGCAGTCGTGTGGACGAAAGGTACGACGGGACGAGTCAATTGCGACGACTGTTGACTGATCAGACCAGACAGGAGTCGATCCGAGGCTTGGCTCTTCGTCCTCGTCGTCGGTCTCGCGTGGGAGATTGTTGTTTTTTTCTAGAGGTAGCGCATGGACGAGCCGTTCGCCTCCCTTCGCCAAGCTTCTGCCACGGACCAGGCGCCCCGCCTTTTCTTTCGTCTGGTTTTTTTCATTTGCTCCCGATGCTTTATCGCGTACCTTATCAGTTCAGTGTTTCCTTCAATCTGATGCCCTGAACCTGGCTGTTTCCTCCCCCAACGGAAGTCTGTCGGCAACCGGCATCGCCAATGGCAGCGCTTGTCTTTAGCACTCCCTCTGCCCTATGGCTAGCGGCAATCGCTGGAAACTCGCGATATCCTGGTCAAGTCCACCCGTTGCTTCAGCGCTTCGTTAGCGGTCTAGTCCCGTTGGCCCCTTGAGCTTGCCGAAAAGCGGGAAAGCCAGGGGAGGTCAGAGCGTAGGTAGTAGGCGGGATTATGTCAGCCTGGGCTTGCATGTGTTGCTCCTTCCATCATCGACAACTTTCTTTTTGGGCGACATTGTGAATTTCGCGATGTTTCTTTTTGCAAATTCCCTGTCTGTCGCGCCTAAATCTCTCCAGATTGAGTTTCATCACCTGTCAAACCACCATCGTTCTATTTACCTTCTTTCGCCGCCCAACAAAGTTCCTGCTTAGTGCGAATTACCTCACGGCTGCGTCCGCGAGCCATCACAAGCACGAGGCACCGAACGCCACCCGGCACGCCCAACCGATAAACTCAAGACAGAGTTCACAGGGTCCAACTCTGTTTCCCAGATCTCGCCCTTCAGATGCCATTTCCTGCTGTCAGTTATCGGTATAGACTATAAGGTCACATCTTGGTCGAATCTTGTCAGGGATGGGCGAGCTCGTCTAATGTGACTGTGCCGCTTGTCGAGCACCCACTTCACATCACCAACGACAACCGCCACCAACAGAACGACAAGGATCTCTCTCCCTCGGCCATCCATGGACCGGGTCGCAAACTCTGGCCGCGAGATCTGGATCCTGAATGGCCTCATGCACACATGCATATCCATAACCGTATTCACACTGACACCTACTACTGCATAGTACGGACGGGCTGCGGATACTGCATCGACGTCCAGCTGCCGCTGTGGGAATGGCTTCGAAGGAACGACAAGGTGTCGTTGGTGCGAGAGGCAAATCGATCCCGTCTCCCCAACGCAGCATCCTTGCCTCTTTCACGGGTGTCGAATCCACATTTGCTCACGAGAGAGGCGAACCCCATCACCTGCCCGCCCAGGACGATGCGGCCGAAAAAACCGAGGCTTGCATGGCTCTGCACAAGTTCCAACAATACTCGATCAAGATCCTGCCTCCCTCGGGCATTTCACAAAGACAAAAACAGGTACACGGGATTCGCCCGTCACATCTCTGCTTCTCGGCCTTTGCTGTCCGGCAACTGAACCACTCTTGCATCGCATTCCAACTGAAACCTCCGTTTGTCGACGCAGCCGGGCGGAGAATGCTTCTCGCAGATTGATTCGTTCAAATGGGGAAATGCACCTCACCCCATCCGGCAGCCCCGTCGGACGGCCGGCGCAGCGACCGCCGTTCCCCGGGAACTAGGCACTTAGCGCGCCTAGTTCGCGGCCAGGCCTTATCGACAACGGTCCCGCAGCCCGCGATGCGTGGAGAGGGAGAGAAGGGGGTCCAGATGAGGAGAAAAGAACGCCGTCGTTCCCCGTAGATCAGCCAATCGCCTCTCGCCGCTTTTCTGCCTGCGGAGCTCTGGCTAGGTTGACGATGACAACCAGGTAGCGCCTTGAGCGGCCCATCTCACGCCAACACCGCTGTGCCGCGGACACGCAGCAAAGTGGCCGTGACAGTTTGACATTTGCGTGTTGGTGCGCTCCCGGCGGCCGTTGGGATCATCTCGCTGCCTGCTATGCTGCAGTCTGACAGGTTCCACGTCCCACTCAACGACTGGAATGCCTAGATGGGAAAACGCTCAGGTCTTGGGGGTTGTGGTTGATTTGCTCGCTACGGGATGCATGGTTGCTGGCCATGTCGCGGGAATTGCGAAGCCCGGACTGAGACATATCCGTGTTGAGCGGCTCATACATTCCTCACTGAAGTGCAACACCCAGCTAACTGATATTCATCACACTCGGGTCCGCAGCGTCATTTCAGTCATTTTGGACCAACGCAACCGGACAGATCATCGCCCACCTCAAAATCCAAGCGGGAAGTGACGGCTCAGTTCTCAGCGCCTAGCAGCTTGATCGGCTCATCCTCTGTTGGAGCTGTTGGTGCTGCGTCGTATCCCCTGGCACATGTTGGTGGAGCAGAAGGAAGGTCCAGGCAGGGTCTTCACTTTTTTGTGGGTGGTTTACAGGAGCCGTCGTCCGCCTCCGATGATGCACTTTGGCACTACCCGAGTGACACACCCAAAAGCCACGAGTTCACGAGGAACCACCACAGATGATCTCTGTCTCACCACGGGAAACGATCCCGCAAAGTGTTCCACGGCCGGCCGCCTCTCCCTTTCGCGCCCGTCCGCCCTGTGGACTCGACAAGGGGGTACAAGTACTGTGACGCCCATCCCGTTCCGCTGCGACGTTCACAGTGCCCGTTTTCTTTGCTTTTTCCTGCTTCCGGAAAGCAAATATGAACATGTCACATTCACGTCGACAACCACCCTCCGCAACATGGAACAATGAAAAAATATGACCCCATGCGCCGCCCATCCTTCTGGGCCAAAACCAGGCCACAAAATGCGTGTTTGCTTGCCCCCGTTACACAGGGTGGAGATGTGATCCTCGCTCTCATCCTGGGCAGGCGAGAGACACCAACACCAACACCACTTTTTGGGGGTCTCGGTCCTTGCCGCGCCTTTCGCCCCCTCCCCACGTATGTATACAAAGTGGGCGCTGTGCTTGTATTGAATGATCTCGCAACTCGGTTGGCTCACCTGCGAAACTGGTTGGTTGAACAAAAAGTCCTTTTACCAGATTCTCGGGACGGTGGAACGATATACAGCCTCGGTTGGTTGCTTGGAGCCTTTCCCTCGAGGACAGAGCAGGTATCCGAGACACTGTGAAGCAAACATTCATATATATCGGTTCTCGCAACCTCTGCACCCCCTGCCTCTGAGACCACCCCTGCTTGCCTGCCCTTCTTCCCTTCTTCTTTCTTTCTCCCAGTGCCTGCCGGTTTCTGTTCCCTCTTCTCTGACTAAAGAACCATCCCGCTGGATTCATCTGTTGACGGAAACTTACGTCCTATTCGATCCTTCTCGCCAACTTCACACCGTGGGCTCACTATCTTCCGCATTCTCATCGGCCTTCGGGTCAGAAGTGCGGCCCCGATATGGAAACTCATCTCGGCCCGGCCATGGGCCATCGAAGCCTCCTCCGCCGGGCATCAAAATCATGTCTAGGCGGTTTCAAGAAAGTATTTTCCACGAGGAGTGATCGCCACGACGACTTCTTGACAATCAGCAAAACATCCGCAAAATCATTCAAGTTTTCATTCAAGACCTCGTCTCTATGGAAGAGGACTACACCACAAGAGGACGAAAAGACATGTAAACCGAAGCCCAACATCACCAACACCACCCCCGAAGAAACCCCGAGAATCAAAGACCCAGAACTGAGGCGGCAGGCCTACCCCCAGGGCCAATCACATATTTTCCGACGGCTACCGCCCGAGATCCGCGAGCAGATATATAAGGAGTTTTGGGTCGCGTGCGGCGTGGAGCGACACGCGTTTCTTGAGGATGGGCATATGCGGTACTCGCCGTGTGTGACGGATCACGAGGCGCCGGATGAGAGGCAACTGGGCCTCGCGAGAGACTTTAGAAAGGCCCCTCAGGTACAATGGCACCCGGAATGGTTTCTGAGGATGCAGTCGCCGTGGTGTAATCACTGGAGATGTGAAGAGTTATGGGAGGATATCAAGGAAGGGAGGAAGGTCGACCTAAATCAGGGCCAGAACCAAGCTTTCATGTCACTTTTGGTATCTTGCAAGAGGGTGTACGTCGCAGCCTTCACCCCTAATCACTCTGAACAACCACTCATTGTCTACCCCCAGATACGACGAAAGCATAGACTCCTTCCGCGAATCCCGCATCCTAAACATCACAAACGGCCACACCCTCCAGCGCCTCCTCAAATACCCGCGGCCCCGCTACGTCTCCGTCGCCCGCACGATCAACATCTCCCTGCGCGAGGACAGCGGCAACTGGCTGTACCTCAACGGCGGCAGCATCTGGCACACGCTCGCGGCCAAGGAGACCAAGGCCACCAAGGTGTACGTGTGGCTAGACGCCGAGTGCCCGCTCACGCGCCGGCTGCTGACCGAGTTCCGCGAGCTGTACACGGGCGTCCCGGCGGAGATCGCGCCGAAGCTGACGATCGACTTTCCCTGCGACGCGGAGGACGGGTTCTGGGCGTGGGGCGAGGTGGACGTGCAGGAGCAGAATGCGTGCGCGGGCGGCGGCGGGTGGGGGAGGGTGGAGCGGAGGGAGGCGATTGTGCCGAAGTTTAAGGTCGTTGCGAGGGGGCGGCAGAGGTTTAATGAGACGAGTTGTGGGTATGTTAGTCGGGGGGATCTGGGGAGGCCGAGGGTGAGGGTGTTGAAGGCCGGGAATCCTTTTGAGGATATTTTGTTGTATGGGAGGGGGATTCACGATGATTCGTATTACTAAGGAAATGAAGATACCATCGACTCTTTTTATTTTGGGTGAACATACTGCAAAACGAATGACGTTAAGGAGAGAGAAAACAAGGTCATGAGTTATTGAGTAATATTCCGTCGCACAGCCATACCGCATTCTCTGAAGCCCCCTGAACGCTGCCCCCCTGATCCTTATTTGTTCGCGCAAAGAGAAGACCAAAAAATTCCTCAAGCTGTTCCACTCCACCAGTTCCGAGCAGCCTGCCAGGGGTTCCATGCAGGAGGAGGCCCAAAGCCTCCCCGGTTGCTGGATTGATACCCTCCGTTACGCGCTTCTGCGAAGAAACGGGCTGCTTCTGCGAGGACGGCCCACCAGTCACTCTGGAACCATCTTTCAAACCAAGAAGATTCTTCTTTGGCTTTACCCTCGGTCCGATTCCTAGGTTGTTCCTTAGGCTGTTTCTTAAACTCTTCGACGGGTTGCTGTTTGGATTGTTCCTTAGATTGTTCCTTGGTATGCTCCTCGGGTTGGTCTCTTGTCTCTGTGTCCCTAGAGTCGTCTGATTTGTCGCTCGAGTTCTTGACTGCCTTCTGAGACCTGAGCACTCCGCAATCCTTGTCCAAACCCGGTCGTAGCACCAAAGTAGCACTATCCTCCGATACCTCCACTATGGTTTGCTTCAGATCAGACGCAAGAATCCTCGCTGCCTCTGTCTCACACAAGGCCATTCCTTGATCCAATTCTTGAATAATCTGCAGCTCGCCGACGTCTTTGTCTGTGTAATTACGTCGAATAAGATTGCGAAGTTCGTCGCCTCTTTCATGGGCTCGCCGTTTTTTGGAAAGGATGCTGCTCCACGAGTCTCCGGAGCCCCTACCTCCAGGAAAGCCATGATGGTAAATGGTGGCTCCATCAAGTCGACCAGGAGGATCCAACAGACAACGGACAACCTCGTGGTTTTCAAAGTCTGCCGTGATGGCCCATCTGTCCTCGAAAGCATCTTCCACGAGCTCGTCCCATTTTGTGGTAACAATCGTGATGTTTTGGAAGAAGGTCGGACCACAAAAACATTCGATCCATCGCAGAGTGCGCAGATCGCTGTCCAGAAGCGCCCCATTCGCCCATAGACATACAGAACACCGGAGAAGGTGACGAATGGGCGAAGTGTTGAAAGACATGCCATGATGTCTTTGAAGTTGTCTTCATCGTCTAAATCGGCGGCGCCAAAGCCAGCTGTGTCTATGAAGAGATACTGGTGATCATCAATGATGGCGGGGCAGACGTGGTACCGCCGGGTCCCTGCATGATGAAAACGATTAGCAAGTTAACGAGGATGAGATTTCAAAATGAGGTCAGATCTTGACCTACCGGACTTCAATGATTTGCCGACATGAAGATCCATCCCGGTAAGCTCATTGAGTAAGGAGGACTTGCCCGTACCCGCACTTCCCATCACGAAGATCAACTTCGTGTCTTTCATACTAAGTATACGGCTTGTTAAGATCATACTGAACATGGCAGTCTCGACACTTACGTGCTCTTGATGAACGCCATGACCGCCTGTGACACACCACCTTTGGCTTTCGAGACCAGCGATTTCAGATGTTCAGTGACCCAGGAATTCCAGTTAGTCTTGGAGATATCCGGTCCTGGCTTGCCGACTGCCTTCTGGGTAAGTTGATCGTCATCGGTATCCGACTCAGTCCCTGAATTGGCGGAGTCATTTGAGTGGTATGATCGGCCTGGACTGTCCACAGGAAGGCTGGCAGAAGCTGTCGTGGAGCTTGACGCACCAACATTGATGGTCTCCGTCGAAATGACCTGCATCTTGAATAAGAGGGGTGAAGAATGTTTCAGCAACAAGGTATGCAGCAGATAATGCTCAGGGTGAGGAGTATAAGAACAAGTGATAACTTGACAAGTAAGTTTCGGTTGCTCGATGACCGCAACAAAAAGTTCATCTGGAGTGAGAATGCACCGCCTACTTATAATTTTCAGAAGGGGCTCATACTGGTGGCTCAATGGATGAGCTGCAACTACCGTTCAACCTGTTGTGATCAAGGCTTATTGGCAAGCTCATCAGAACACACCCCGAATCAAGCAAAACAGTAGCCCGTCCACATCAGCGTTGAGTATTCTTGTGCACCACTCAAAATGATGTCGACTCCGGTTGGTTCTCTGCAGTGGGGCAGCAATGCTGGGCGGCCATTCGAAGGACTGTCTTGCATTGATCCAGTCGTTCCAATGCATCCCAAGGTGGAGACGCTTATCATCACCCAAACCAACGTGATGGTTTAGGATCAGGCCAATGATCATGCGTTATCATATGCAATACACGGCCGAGCCGAAAGACACCTGCATGGCGTTTCCCAACACCACCACGTGTAAGACTCTTTCTAATGGCTACTGCATTTTGCATCCCGGCCCAAATGAGGCGAGATCTTGGGGCGAACCAGATGTATGACCTCGCCCACGACCATTTCCGGCCAGCAGGCGGTCTGTTTCCCCTCAAACGACCCATCTACTACTTTGCTGCCGCACAGTACTTCGCATATTCTCCTTCTACGGGCATTCCAAATCTCGAGCACTACCTTCAGGCATCACACGTATCGACACGTTCAAGTCTGAGCATCACAGCCAATGATGGAGCGCTTAGACAATGCTGCCGTTCAAGCTGCCTTCCAAGCTGCCTTGGATCACGCCATGCACGATGAAACAGTTTACGGTACATCAGCAGAAAGCCGTGTATGGGGGAACCATCTTGAGGAATACAACCCACTTGATTACTTGCATCTTTGTCAAAACGATGTGGACCTATTTTTGTTACCCCAGGAATATCAGCCTTTTTCTTTGATTAGCGGTACCTCATCCGACTTCAGCAATCAACGGCCACAGGAGCACTCATATTCGAGTCACAATGCTAATGCCAATTTGGACGTCGGTTTGATGAATCTCTCGATTCTGCGGACGGCTGGACAATTTACGTCCAACTTACGATTCCCAATGAGTAACTTGCTTCATTTTGATGGAAACGTAATGACATTTAAGGAATGGGCTGACTCGCCTTTTTTCTCGATGATAGTACCATTCATGGATATTGAGCTCTTGGAATACTCTGGTTCTCTCGCAGCTACCGACCTGATGACAGCATCTTGCAATCCGATATGGCCTTCCGAGCTTAACCCTCAGAAATATCCTGAGCAACAGAGCGGTTACTTGGGGGTTGCAATATCTGACTCGAGTGAGAGCCCAGCAGCGATTGAATTTGTGATGCACGACCCAATGGCCAGCGAGCGGGCCAAGCAGAGAACCAAAACAACCAAGTCGGAACCAAAGACGCCATCAAATGAGCAATCAAATGAGCACTGGGATATGCTCAAGGAAACCCATCTGCGTCGACTCTACATGGAGGAAGGCCATACGGTGAACGAAGTTCTATTTGAGATGCTCGTCATTCATGGGCACGAACTTGGGTATGTGATTTCTTTGGCACTTATTCGACGATAAATTTCGAACAATGGCTGACTCAATTTGTTAGTAAACCGACATTGGAAAGAAATTTCAGGCTTTGGGGATTCTCCAAGAACAGGTCTAAGCGCAAAGATTTACAAAATTCCGTCGGGCGACGTCGGCGTATCGCGTACGCCTTGCCAGCTACCGCCTCCACGATCAAACACCTCAAGTTTGCTTCAATGAACGAAGCAAGACGAAGGCTGGACAGACAAAGGCCGCACTTTGGACTTGCAACAACATACGTTCAGCAGGAGAAGATGTTCCACGCCGTTGATCATCTCGTGAAAGGGCTTTTCGCTTCTGGCAAGCGGAGCTGGAAAGCAGTGAACCCTCGAAGTACGAACTTCACGTCATCGGACTTCGGCTTCTGCAAAACATCCCTCGACTGGCAACTGGTCTCTGAAAAGTGCCGCTGCATCGCAATACTATCTGATGCGGCGCAGTATGGAGAAACATTTGGTGTATTGGAGGACGTTGTGGACATCCTACGGTCCTCCACACGGCTTTGCAATCCAAGCTTCCTGGTCTATTTCTGGAATTTCCTTAACTCTAATGAACGTTCGCATTGGAGATCGCAAACACTTCCTGCTGTTCAGGTCTTTCCTGCTACAGCTCCAGGAAATCTTGCCTTCGTCTGTTGGAGTACACCATCCAATTACCGACTTTGTCATATCACTGGTAGCCGTCGCAACTTCAACTCCTCTCGACCTCAAGACAACCTTAAGCCTTGCATGCTGGAAGGCAATTCATGTTATCGCCAGTATACTTGGCCAAGAACACGCCATTGTTCTCAATATGACTGCCTACTGTGTGAGGAATTGGAGAAGTCGCTTCAACCCAAGCGAAGAAAATATTGAGTCCGGCTACTATCATCTGGGTGCCTCGAGTTCCATATCGACCCAAATAGTATCCGAGGACGACATATCCTTACATTTTGACCACCTTCTGGCTACTCTGAAGCCCATGAACAATGCCGCAAGTGTCATACAAGAGGCAGTTGATATTTGGACCATAACAAAAGACGGGTGCTGTAAGAAGCCCCGGGTGGGAAATGCGTACGAAGTTCTCTCCCTCCATGCGTTTACTTTCACAACTGAGCTGCTCGCTTCTCATTACATGGAGGCGCAAGGGCCAGATCGACTGTCTAGTTTCGAGACAGGATACGAATACTTGAGCAAGGGAATTGCGACCCTGGCCAACGGCAGTAAAGAGCATCAGACCCACGCAATGGCTTTGTCAAAGCGATTGGAAAGCTACCTTAAAGCTTCCAATGACAGAGGAAGGGCAATGAAGGAAAGAGAGCGCGGTACTGAGCTACGTCTGCGGATCAAGAAGATGCTGATGACTTCATCATGGGCTTCTCATCAAGTACCAGGAGATCGTCCCAAGACTGGAGCAGCCTGGGCGAGAAAAAGTCGTCAAAGTCGCAGAGAGAGTCATAAAAGACTGACACTGTTACTTGATAACAAGAGAGTAGAGACCATGTAGCTGAAGCGGACTGTCCCAATCAGGTGGATAGATGCCTTAGGTACACGACAAATAATTCCGCATCTTACCTATCCTCAATATAAATCGGATTTAATTCCTATTGTGATGCCCTTAAGTATCCGAGGTAGCCTTACGCTTAGAAGAAAGTATAAAGTAACCTACTTCTAACTTACTTATTTAGACTAATAATATTCTAGTATATTAGGATTTACTTTTTAAAAAACCTTTTATATTAAACTTTAATTTAAAAAGAATTAAGCTATTTTATTTATATAGATATTATATATATATTATAGTTAGTTTATAATAGTTATAAACTTAGTTTATATTATATTTCTAAACTATTATCTATAAAGTAAATTATAACTTTATTTAATTTATTTTATATCTATTATATTCTATTTTAATTTTAAAACTTTATTTTTATAATTATTTTTAATTTATAATATATTTCTAATATAATAATAATTATTAATTTAAGTATTTTTTATAAATTTACTTTTTATTATAACTTTTTAGTTTAATATATTACTTTTTAAATAGAAATAAAAACTAAAAATATTTAGAAATATATTAATTTAAATAATATTTTTAGTATTTTTTCTAATTTAAATAAAATTAAAAATATATTTTTATTTAATAATTAGATTTAAAAAGAAAATAAAATATAATATAAATATTATAAAATAAAATAAGAAATTTATAATAAAATTATTACTTTATATATTTTTATTACTTTAAATACTTAAAAAGCTATTATAAAAAATAATATTACTAAAAATAAAGATTTTAGAAAAGAAAAGTTTAAAAAAACTATTAATAACTTATTACTATTAATATTAATTATATTTATTTTTCTTATTAAAAGATTTATAAGAATTTTTAAACTTTATATTTTATATTTTATTATATATATAGCTTATAAAGTAAAATATATATAAAAAGAATAAATATATAAAGTTTTAAATAAATAAATTAAAGATATTATTTTAGAAAAGATCCTTATATTTATTTAAATAAAGTTTTTTAAAAAAGAAGATTATACTTTTTATATTTTAATATATATTTTAAAATAATATTATATTTTAAATAATTTAAATAACTTTATTATAATTTATAAAAAATATATTATAGTTTTAAATTAAGTAGTTTTTATTATTAATTTTAATATTTAGATTAAAAATTTCTAAAATATATTTCTTAAAGTTTTTTAGTATAAACTACTAAAAATATAAAGAACCTTTATATTAAAAACTTTTTTCTAAGTAATTTAATACTATTTTACTCTATTTTAAACTAATTTAAAGTTTATTAATATTATTAAATAAGAATATTTTAGTATTAAGATCTAAAATATAAATTAATATATTAATATATTTAAAAACTTTCTCTATAAAAATATAATAAGTATTTATTTAAAAAGTTATATTAATAAAGTTTTTATAATATTAATTAAATAATTTAATAATATAATTTTTAGTAATTTTATTTTAAAAAAGCTTTTATAAAGTAAGTTAGTTTTATATTATATATATAAAAATATTATAAATAAACTTTATTTATTTATAATTATTTTAAGTTTATTCTTATAAATAAAGAAATTTATATAAATTTTAAAGAAATAATTTAGGTTTATTTTAAAATTAATAAATTAAAATATTTTAAATTTTATACTAAAATAGTTTATAAAAAATAGTTTACTATAAAAAACTTTAATACTTTTAGGTTTAAAAATAATAAAAATTAAAATAAGAAAAAACTATTTAAGAATAACTTTAGTAGATTAAAAAGGTTAATTATTATTTTTATTTTTAAAATAAATTTCTTATTTTATATAATAATTTATATTATTATTAAAGATATTATTATAGAAATTATAATAAAAGAAATAAAAGTTTTTATATTAAAATTTAAACTTAATAAGATCTATATAATTTATATTTAAAACTTAAAAATTCTCTTTAATAATATAATATTAAATAATTATAATATTTTCTATTTAGTTAATAATATCTCTCTTTTTAAAAAAAACTTTATTATTTATAAAATAAAGAAATAAGTTAAAATAAGTATAATTTTATATTTTATTATAATAAAAAGTATAAAAGTTTTTTATAATATCTTAAATAAAGTAAATAAACTTTAAAACTTAATATTTTAGAATATTACTTTTATAAATAACTTCTATATTAATATTATTTTAAAATATTTATTATAAAAAATAAATATTTAATATTTAAGATTTAATAATACTTTTTATATTAGAAATTATAAAAATAATATAGAAATAAAGAAGGTTTTAAAAAAAAGTAATATTACTTTTATAAATTATTAACCTTATTTTTTATATTTTAGTTCTAAATATATCTCTTTTAGTAATATTTTAATTATAAATCTATTAGTTTTTATAATAATTTATATAAAATAATACTCTTAGAAACCTATTTAAATTTATATTAATACTATAGAAATATAGTATTTTTATTTTAGTTATCTTAGCTAAAAAACGCTTAAGAAACTTATTTTTAATACTTAAAAAGTAAAGATTTAAGGTATATTATATTTTAAATACTAATATTATATAATAATATATATAAAGTAAGTCATATTATAATATATTTTAGAATAAAAAGTAATATAACTTTTTTATAAAGTATTATAAAATTTACTTAATTATTTAATAAGTTTTAATATAAATAAATAGCTTTTAGTTATTAAAAATAAATATATAAATTAACTTTTTATATTTTTATATATAAATAAAACTTAATATTTAGTTTTTATTATTATTTAAACTTTTAAATACTAAATATAGAGATAATATAGCTTTATATTATATAAAATTAAATAAAATAGTAAATATACTATAATTATAATTAATAAACTATTAGAATTTTAGATTTAAGTATTAGAAATAAGGATTAAAGTTAAATAAGTTTTTTTATATATTAAGGAACTAAATAGAAGTATAAAATAAATAAATTAAAAACTAGTTATAAAAGCTATTATAATACTTTAAGTAATAAGTTTTTTATTTAATTTATAAGTTAAAATAATATAAACTATAATATTCCTTTATAATATAAGCTCTTATTAATATTATAGCTAGCTCTTATTAATTTAAATTAAAAAAAACTAATTAAAAGATTATATTAAGTATTATAAACTTATTTATAAAATAAACTTCTTAATTAATTTTTATTTTTAATAAAGAGAAGTTTATATATATAACTATAAAGTATACTTCTTTAAGAAAAAATATAAAATAAATAAAAATAAAAATAATTTTAAAATTATAATATAAAAGTATATTAAATATTTAGTAAGTTATATAGTAAACGTATATAACTTCTATAAAATTTAAATATTTTTATTTTAAGAAGTTATTATTATATAAAATATAACTTTTAATAAGAAGATATTTTATTTAAAAAATAATATAAAGATAGTAATTTAAAGTAAAGAAGTTTACTTAGTTATTAATAAAATATAAGAATTAATATCCTCTATATTTTTAGAACTTTAAATTTTAAAAATATAAAGTAAAGCTAATTTTATATTAATAATAAATAATAAAGTATTATTATTATACTTTTCTTTATTAAAAGAACTTTAGATAGTTAATAATAAATAAAAGAAATAGATATTAACTCTTAAGTTAAATTTAGATTTTATTAAAATATATAAAGTATTAAATTTAATACTATTATTAAACTTTATTTAAGATAGTATTATAATAGAAAAAACTTAAGATATTAATAGGAATATAACTCTTACTAAAAATATAATTTTAAATAAAATATATATTTAAATAAATATACTTTTTTTATAAAATCTAAATATAGAAGATATTAATATATAACTACGTTTATAAAGTAACTCTTTTATTTAGTTAGTATAGCTATACTTAAAAACTAAAGAAAAGAGTATTATTAAAAAAGAGTTAGAATAAATATATAACTATATTAATTTAAGTTAATTTAAAATTATAAAGTTAAAATAATTTTTTTATTTTAAAATATATTTTATATTCTTCTAAATAGAATAAAACTAAAATATTTTTTTAAAATATATATATTAAAGTAATAAAAAATACTTAAAGAAGTAAACTAAAGATATTACTTATTTTACTACTTTATTTTTATTTTAGTTTACTAAATAAAGCTAAAATATATATCTATAATATTAAATAGAAAAATCTATATTAACTAGCTTATAAAGCTATTTAAGATTTAGAGAGATATTTAATATATATTAAAGCTATTTTACTCTTATTTTATTAAAATATATAATATTAAGATTAATAAATTTAAAAAAATAAGTATTTAAGATATTATAAATAAATTAAAAATTAAAAATAAATTAATATTTTTTAAGTAAGTATTTATATATAAACTAGATTAATATAAATATTTTAATTATTATAAAACTAAAATTTATATTTAAAGTAACCTCTAAGAAAAATACTTTTTAGAATAAACTTATATTATAACTTTTATTATAAAAATATTTAAGATTATAATAGCTTTTATAATATAATTTAACTTTAAAATTTATTAATTTAATATTATTAATATATTTCTAAATACTATATATAAGCTAAATAACTTCTTTATTATTTACTACTTACTAAATAGTTTTAAAAAAGATAGAAAAGTTATTAAATTTTAATATATTTTATATAGTTTTTATAATACTTCTTTATTTTAATATAAAGAGTCTTTAAATATTTTATTTTATTTTAAATTATACTTAATAAGTATAAATTTATATCTTTTTTAGTTTTATAATAATAAAGTTTTTATAATTTTTTATATTAATAATATCCTTATTTTATATTATAAGAATTATATAAAAAAAGTAGAAAAAGTTATAAAAGAGATTAAAGAGAAGTATAAGCTAAAAAATTAAAAGTTAACTAAATAATATTTAGAAATTAAGATTACTTATAATTAAATAATATAAAGAATTTATTTTTTATATAATTAGTATATTAAGTAAATTATAAAGAAATTTAACTTTATTAATTTTAAAGTATTAATTATATTTTTTCTCTTTATTTTATTTAAGAAGTTTAATAAAGAAATAAACTTATAATAAGTCCTCTTATATTAAGAGAAAGTTAAGTTAATCCTCTATATTTTAATTATAATATAGCTAGATATTATATTTATTTATATTTTATTATTATAATTCTTAATAAACTTATTTTTAAAATATTATTAAACTATAAATTAAGTAATTTAATATTTATATTATATTTAATATTTTATAATTTACTTTAGTATCTTAGGGGGTAAGATAGTTTAAGTATTATTAATTATAAATAATATATTATTTATTAATAACTAAAAGATATAAAGGTTATTTTAAAGTTTTATAATATGTCTTTTTAGAAACTTAATTTAATAGAAAACTATATATTAAAATATAATAATTATATTAATAATAAAAGTAAAGCTTTTAAACTTAAAGTATATTATAAAAGAAATTATAGTTTTTAAGTAGTTTTTTAGAGATTTTAAACTTAGTTTTAGAGATATATAGAAAATCTATTATAATAATTAGTAAATAATATAACTTATAATAAGTAAAAAGGAGTATATTTTAATTTATTTCTATTATATAAATATTCAAAATATATAGCTTTATTAAGAATATATTAAGTAATTATTCTAAGTTATATATCTTCTTATTAATAAGATATTAGCTAATAGCTTTATAAAAATATTTTTTATATAAAATCTAAATAATTTAGAATACTTTTAAACTTTTAAGATATATTATAAATAATAGAGTAAAATAAAGAAAAAAAGATAAATAATAAGTAAAGCTTATAAACTAAATATTTAATTAAAAATAACTTAATAGCTAAGAAGTATATAGCTTTCTTAAGAATTTAAAATACTTATATTTTATAGAATACTTAGTAATATAACTACTATACTTTATTCCTATTCTTAGAGAGTAAATATATAGTTATTTATAAAAATATTATATATAAGCTTTATTTTCTTAAGAAAATATCTATTAATAAAGCTATTAATAATATTATAAATATTAATTACTTTAGAGATAAAGAGGATTACTTTAGAAAATAAACTAATATATAAAATACTAAAAATTAATATATCTTCTATAATAAGCTTAATTAATAAAGTAATAATTAATATTAAAAGAAGAACTATAATCTTAATAGCTACTTTATTATTACTTTTATTTTTTATTTTAGTTTTAGTTTTTATTTTAGTTTTTATTTTAGCTTTATTATAAGTTTTAAAAGCTTCTTAAAGTATAGTTCTCTTAAGAAGAAGAATAATCTAATAAATAATTAGCTAAGTAATTAATAATATAAATATTATAATATAAAATATATAGTTTTATTTATACCTTTATATATAGTTTTAAGGAATTAAAACTTTAGTATAGAAATAAGTAATAATATAAAGATATATAGCTTTTTTTTCTCTTTATAAAGAGTATATTTACTTCTTTATTTTATATTAAGTATATATATACTAAATAATATATTTTATTAAATATTTTATAAATAAAATAAATAAATTTTATTACTTAGTAATAATAATTACTTTCTTTTTTAATTTTTAGCTTTTAAAGTTTCTATTTCTACTTAGAAGTTAGTAAATAATATAATAACTTAATTAGAACTATAAATTAGAAATATACTCTATTTATATTTTTAGTATAGTTTATAAATAAATAGAAGAATAAAAATTATAAATTATAAATTATATTTTTTTTTAATTTTTCTACTTTTTATAGGTTTTTTACTTTTTTTAAACTTATTAATCTTAGTTTTTATAAAATAACTTAAATTAATAATTAATTTATAAGAATAATAAAATAAAGTAAAGATATTATAATAAAAAAAAACTTTAAAAAACTAAAAATAGAGGATAAAATAACTTACTTTTAAGCTTAAAACTTTTAAGTTTTAAAGAAAATATAAAAAGAGTATTATTACTCTTTTTTTTTTCTTTTTCTCTTTTTTTCTACTTTTTATTAATAAAAGTAATTTTTATTTTAGCTATTATAGCTATATACTTAGTTTTAATTTTCTTAGTTATTTAAATAATATAGTTAATATTAAAAATAAGATTATAAATAAAAAAAAGGTATTATATTATAATATAAATATATATATATATATAGAAATAAAGTAAATAATATATATATTAGTTATAATATAAATAGGGAAAAAAAATTAAGAAATAAAAATAATATAAAAGATATTATTATTACTACTACTTTACTACTTTAATAACTATTTTAACTTTTTTATTTAAATTAATAAAAAGCTTTTATTTCTACTAAATAAAATAGTAATATTAATTACTATTTTAATATTTATAATTTTAACTATAATAAAAAGTATATAAAGAGAAAAACCTTCTTCTTTTTTATAATTCAATAATAAAGCTATAAAGTTATCTTTTTTATTAGTTTTTTTTATTAATTACTTCTTTTTATATCTATTTATAATACTTTATATATATATTTAGATTTTATAGTATTAATTATATAAAATTAAGATTTTTAAGCTTTTTTAAACTTAAAGAAGTATATTATAATACTTTTAAGTATCTAAAGTAGCTTTATACTTAATAGAAAATATAAAATAACTTATTTTTAATTTACTTATTTAGATTAATAATATTCTAATATATTAAGATTTACTTTTTAAAAGACCCTTTATATTAAACTTTAATTTAGAAGGAATTAAGCTGTTTTATTTATAAAGATGCTATACGTACGTTATAGTTAGTTTATAATAATTCTAAATTTCCTTTCTTAAGTAGGCTGAAATCCTTGTTGCAGTATATCGCAGATGCGGTTTGAAAAAAAGAGCGTTTGGCTTGGGCAGCATTTTGCTTCATTTTTGTTGCTGTCGAAACTTTTACTCATGTTCAGGTCAGTCAGCGCCTCTGAGCGGAAGTTGAAGCGGAGGTGCCGGTCTACGACATCGTTCACCAAACAGACACGCATAATAGCCGGATGTAAGACCTCGTAGGTCGAGAATGACTCTTGCAATGGCGGTTCCACTGCGATCAAATACCTATGTCGCCAGGAAGTCCGGCTCATCATGCTGATCGTCCTTTAATTCCCCCTGTCGAGATTCAGTTAAGCATTCAAAAGAGCATTCCGTGCTGACAAGCCATTTTATCAACTGACTTTCGCACAAATCACAAATTTAACTTAAGTTCGACAACACCGGCTAGACGACGTATGAAGTAAAGCTTAGGACGACTATTGGACGCCTTGCGAGTCCCCCCCTATCGATGTCAGGTAGTATTTTGTTTGAACGGCTAAGTAACAGCTTGGCTGAATCTCAGAAACGTGGTTTTATCTTCTAGTTTCTATTTTTTTTGCGCTTACCTCAGCCGGTTCATATCGCTGTGATGATCCGACGTTGGTTTTCATCTTCACAAGATTGCATCTGCATTCCCCGTACATTACCAAGAAGATTTCCCATGGAACTTTTAGATCACTAGCTATGCATGTCTGATTGAAAATCGGGCTAAGTTCAGGACCTCACCTTCCGGGCCTCTTTATCACCACGCTTTTAGCAGAACTGCGACTTGTAGCTACATAGAGTGCAGACCAAGAGGACGTCCACCGCTTTTGGAACTTTGGTGCATTGCGGATCATTTGCATCCAATCAAAGACTGTCGCTGGGAGGCTGATGAACAGGCAGCAATTTGCGAGTCAGAATGCATGCTTGCTATGTTCGCCCTAAAGGTAAATCATCATTCTGTTTGGTGTGTTGTTCCGGGATTCGGCACTTCAACGCGAGCCCATGCCCTCTGTGACCCCATCGGCCCGCTCCTCTTCAAACGCGTTGTTTTGTTCCTCGATGTTGAGAAACTTTCTGCAATGTGTCTTATCTGGAGAATCCTTCTCACGCAGTGTCGCAGGGACTAATGAATTGAAATTCATTCGCGGCACCTTGTATAACTGTTAAGCATCAATCCAGTCCGGCAACAGAAGCCATGAGCTCTCAAGAAACGATTTTCACCAACACTCCTGTCCGAGAAGGCCAATTTCGTCTCCTTGACATCTTGCCTGCCCCTCATGATCCCTACAAAAGGCCTCCTATTCGATGTCAGCTCCGTGTTGCAGCATTGTCCGATCCACCAGACTACGAAGCCATCTCGTACGTCTGGGGAAGCCAGGATTCCGACAATGAGATCCAGATTGAGGTCTCAGGTGAGGCTTTCAACACGACGAAGAATCTCCATGCAGCTCTGTCTCACCTTCGACTGCCACACAAAACGAGGACCGTTTGGGCCGACCAAATTTGCATCAACCAGAAAGACAGCGCGGAAAAGTCCACCATCGTCCCCCTCATGCGGCAAATCTATTCTCGATGCCGTCAAGGTCTGCTTTGGGCGGGCGAAATTCCTCAGGAAATGGATCCGGCTCATGTGGAATCACTATTCGAATTTCTCAGGTACATGGCGGAGGGTGGCACTACTGATACCCCCGCCCCTCAGTGCATGGCTTCCGAGGCGGCATTCAAGGGGCCGATATCGGCATTGGTGCACTTGATGGCCGGCCAAGGTTCTTGGTTTTCTCGTATATGGACGGTTCAAGAGGCAGTTCTCCCGAAAGAAGCCGTCTTACTTTGGGGACCGCAGTCAATTCCTTGGAGCACGTTGATTCAAGCAACGAAGACTTACACGACTGAGATGTCGCAAGACGTGTTCAGAGTTTGTGAGTATGGATTTGCCGAGGGCCCAATAGCCGGTCTTATTGCGGTTCTAGTATGGTTGAATGGCTGTAAATATGACTGCAAGCCGTCGTCAGCTATGCAGCAATGGCGGGGACGGCAAGCCCACGACCCTCGAGACAAGGTCTATGCTCTGCTCGGACTGTTTCCATCTGGAACGCTTCCAAGAGTCGAAAGCTGCGATTATGACATCCCAGTAGCTGAGGTTTACGAGAACCTAACGCTTGACCTCATTACTGACGAGCAGAGCCTTCGGCCGCTTGTCGGAAACCCCCGTCTAAAGCCTGTCAGGGCGACTCCGAATTTGGCCAGGTGGGCGATCGACTTGGTGGGAGTGCCTATACACGAGATAGAATACTGGCATCACACATACGATTCAACGCATTTTCGTGCGGATGGTGGTCGTCGCATGGAATTCCAGCACCAAAAAGGCATCTTAGGTCTCACGGGCGTTTTCGTCGACACAATTGAGAGAGTCGAACCTGGATTGATGCTCATTGGGAAACACGCATCATACGAGTTGCTGGCTGAAACCTTGCAAAGATGGAAGAGTACGGGACCCGACGAAGAAGCCTTTGGGAGGCTCATCACAAACGATCTTGTTAGAGATGCTGTCGGGGACCCTGTCCAGCGCGCATCCGCAGCAGACGCCCACCAGGCTATGGAATATCTACGCAACAGAACAGGGGAGGAATGGATTCAAGAACAAATCTTGATGACGGTCAAGAACTCAGTGTACTTTACAACAAAGTCTGGGCTTATCGGACGGGGGCATCTTGAAACACAAGCTGGCGACGAAGTCTGGGTGTTCAACGGAGGCAGCGTACCATTCACAGTGAGACCGCGAGGCTCAAGCAAATCAGTTGACAATGACCTCGAGTACGACTTTGTGGGCTATAGCTACGTGCATGGCATTATGGACGGCGAGGCTTATGAACGCGGTATCGAAAGCCGGTTCATTTGGATTCGTTGATAGAGGAGCTACAGAAAGCTAATATTGTCCAGAAAACTAGCATTTGACATAATTGTCTGACTTGCTAGTTGAATTTGAATTAGATAGCTGAATGCTCCGGGAGCCAACTGGGGCATTGTCGTTGTGTACTTAGCAACAGTAAGCTCAAGGACCCATCAAAGAGAGCGGAAGTCTTTTCCGGCACCTTCAGCCTGGTCGAATAGTAGACCTTTTTAAACATGTCTTATCATTCCATCTCTTACCCATTCCTTGGCCGTTCTTAACGATTTGTTTCCCGACATCGGACACGTCGAAATCATGAAATTCGACCCGGAGTCGGATAGCTTGCCAGCAAGATCTCAGCTCCCACACGTTCCAGGGACGCCTCAAGACTCGGCCTGGTTCTGGGGCGAGAATGATGAGGTCAATACTTCCACCATCTATAAATATTAAAGGGCGCCTGGCTAAGGTTGACACTGCATAGTTGGGCCGATTAAACCTGCTCACCCCAAAGCGCAGGGCGGCAGCAGCAAGTCTGATCAAGGATGGTATTACCATTGGCTTGAAGTAAGCTCTGACAATTGAAATAAGGTCAGTTACCTAATTGCACATAGTTGGTCTGCTGAATTGCCGTTTCCACCCATGTTTGGCCGAGAGCCATTGATGCATCAGATCAAGCCTCTCGGACCGGCAGGCAACGATGAAATTCTGAAAATGAACTCACAAAGCGGCTCTCAAGTAAGCGCAATCTTAAAGATTGGAAACATTTTGCTAACACTCAGAAGTGGGATGGATTTCGACATGTTAGATAATGGTCCATCCAAAGCTAAAGCAAAGACTGCATCAACTGACAGTAATGACCGGACAGGTCAGTGTATCCCATGAAGGAGGTTGGGTATTTTACAACAACGTGAGTGATCTTTCTAGAAACTGATACACATAGCTGTGCTGAAACCCTGTTTCCAAGACGGCACCTGAGCAGATCGAGAAGACCACCAAATGCGGAGTACAGGCCTGGGCCGCCCAGGGCATTGGTATGTTTCCAGCCCTAGAGCCTGTCACTTGAAAGATCACTAAGACCTATGCAGTCGGAAGAGGTGTCCTTCTTGATTACTGGACCTATGCTAAGGAGTCGTACGATGTGAACTCTCGCCATCCGATTTCTGCCAAAGACCTCAAAGCTTGCGCTATGGCCCAAGGAACCCAGTTTGAGTACGGTGACATCCTGATCATTCGTACTGGTTGGATCGACACATACAACAAGATGACTCAAGACGAAAGAGTCAAGTTGACCGAGGTTCCAGCCTATAGTCATACCTTTGTGGGTGTCGATCAACACCCTGATGTTGCCGACTTCCTTCACGACAACTACTTCAGTGTTGTGGCATCGGACTCCCCTGCATTCGAGGTTCGGCCACAAAACAAAGAGTGGAATCATCACGTCAATCTCTTGCCAAAATGGGGTGTACCCATTGGGGAACTTTGGGACTTGGAGAGGTTGGCCGAAGTTTGCCAGCAACGCAAGCAGTACGCCTTCTTCTTTGCGAGCACGCCGAATAACATCAAAGGCAAGCACCTGCTGAAAAATATCAGATTGAAGCAATAGCTAACACCTCAAAGGTTCGGTCGGTAGTCCATCGAATGCGCTTGCTATGTTCTGAACTTTTCCCGGTAGGGCCCGGGGTGGTTTCCATACCACGGGTGCAATGAGATTGAGATTAGAAAGAGGCGTCTATCACAGCGTAGAATAGACAATGACACGCTCACATCATCTCAAAAATTACATAGCCGCTAATAGGTCAGTATTGAGCAGTAATTAGTAGACATTGAGTCATTTGTCCCCTGTTTCGTGCGTCGCCTCATTATCCGGATTTCAACGTGCCGCCCGGAAGACTCAGCCGATCGTTGTTGTACAGCCTCAAAAAATGCTGTATCCGAGAAACAGTGCCTGGCAATTCGGCTATCGTCGGAAAAAGACTCCTCGGTGCAATAGTGATATCAATCTGGTTGTGTTGCCCATCAACAACGAACACCATGCATGTATCAGCCCGTGTTGACGCGGAGGCCCGTCGCGGGCCGTAAAGACCTTTGTAACAAGATCAAGAGTCAAATACATAAGAGAGGTGTTGCTTCATTTTTCAGATGATGGGACGAGATTCATGTAGTTCAAACTACCTTGAAACTATGAACATGTCTAGCCATTCGCTCCCCACCTACGAAAATATCCCTCCCGTCGATGGCATGCCTCACGGCTGCGCCTGGGGCCTGTGGGACAAGGATGACAAAGCTGATCAAGTTGGGACTCTTAACCTTCTAACCCCATCCAACACACTCGAGGCCAGGAAAGAGATTCAGACCGGTGTTTCAGTTTCACTGAAGTGAGTAAGATGGTCCTCATTCTGTTTAAAGCCAGCAGTAGCTAACTTAAGGATTTGCAAGCTGGCCCCTGGAACGGATTGAGGACCCAGGTCACAATCGGACCAAGATCAAGCACCGTTTCTTGGATCTGAAGCCTGCCCTGGTGGGACACGATGACGAAATTTGCATCAATACGCAGACAAGCAGCCAGTGGGACGGACTCCGTAAGTAAGGACATAAGTACATTGATCTCATACCCATTAAACGTCGGTAGGACATTGGGCCCATCAGGACTCGGGGAAGTACTACAACGGCTTGACTCATGATGAGATCAGCGGGGAAAGACCCAATCTACGCAACGGCATTCAAGGTATGAAAATCTTCGCCACACAATGATCTCACCTTTCATGAAGCTCATTTTGACATGCAGAATGGTCGAAACGAGGCGGTGTTGTCGGCAGGGGTGTGCTTCTTGACTATGTTGCATGGGCTGAGAAAAGAGGTATCGAGTACAGTGCGGCCAGCAAGCACTGTATTAGTCACTTAGACCTGGAAGAGATTGCGGAGGAAGAGGGCTTGAAGCTCAGAGTCGGCGGATCTCATGGTCCGAACTGGGTGGATCAGGTGGTACAACGAATCTACCTCAGATGAAAGGGTGGCAGGATGCAAGACGAACCACAACTATGTAGGAGTCGAAGGTACTGCCGAGAGCATCAAGTGGTTGTGGGATCATCACTTCTCTGCTTTGGTGGGCGACAACATGGCTTTCGAGGCGTGGCCAGCGGAAGGCCCATACAGTGAGCACAACCTCTACCTTCTGATGCCGGAACCACTTCTCTGACGAACGGTTAGGAATCCATGACAATGCTCTGGCTCTATGGGGGACACCACTGGGAGAGTTGTGGGACCTCGAAGAGCTAGCTGATCAGTGCAAAAAGCATGGTCGCTGGAGCTTTTTTGTGACAAGCTGCCCATTGAATGTTGCTGGGGGCGTAGCCAGCCCGCCAAATGCACTAGCGATCTTTTAGGTACAAAGCAAGCTCACAGGTTTCCCCCGATCAATTGAACTATGGCCGTGATGACATCGATAGAAAACTTGGGTGTTGCCGACAACTCTGGGAAGTAGCCAAATGCATGGGGCAAGCCGGGGTAGATGTCAACCTTTGTCGGCACACTGGCGAAGTCAGTTATGAACAGGTTCGTTTGGAACTCATCTTACCCTGCATCTTTGAGTTTAGCGGCGTAGGCCAATCCCTCATCCCTCAGCGGATCCATGCCCGCGACTTGAAGATAGGCCGGTGCCAAATCCTTGAAGTTCTGGTTGAGAAGAGGGGACACCTCTGGACTGGATGGATCTGGCGGGCTGTAGTATCCATAGAATGTCTCCATAGAGCGCTTCGAGAGGAGGGGTGCATCTTTAAGCTCTTCCATGCTGCGAAGCTTGAGCTCAGGTGGATAACAATCGATGTGGCAAGTTGCAGGGATCCTCAGAATTTGACCCTTCAATGCAACTCCTTTATCTCGAGCCCTATGGGCGATGACGGCAGTCTATGTTCATTCAGATTAATTTGTCTCAACTAAAAGTCCCCGGAAAACTTACCGAGTTTCCTCCGGAGCTGGAACCGCTGACCATGACACAGTTTGGATCTATACCCAGTGTCGAAGAATTCTCCAGAGTCTGGGCGAAACTTCTTGTCAACTCATCTCTCATACATGTCTCGAAGTAAGTGGCTCTTACCCAAAGCAAAATATCCCAGCAATCTTCCAAGCCTCTTGGGAATGGGTTCTCGGGAGCCCTGGGGACTGGTTAGTATACCTGTTTCTTCTCAAGTTGTCTGAGCGTGAGTATTTGGTGCTTACAGCCGGTAGTCCATAGATACGACGACAACTTTGGTGTACTCGCAAATTGCTTTGCAAGCGATATCTTCACCCTCGAGATCACCGAGCGTCCAACCTCCGCCATGTATGCTGGTAGCCAGGTGAGATTTACAACGAAGTTTCTTTCCTACGTACTGGGCGAACTTACTACAAAAGGCCTGGGGCGGGATTCTGTGCCCCGACTGGCGTATAGATCCGGCAAGGTATGTCAAACCCGTCCGAGACCTTCACTTGAATGTCTTTGGTTGTCAATCCCGTGAACTGCGGAGCCATTGCTGTAGCGTAAACTTTGAGCTCTGCCATGACATCCCGGAGATGCTGCGGTGAGCCCACTAGATGGGGCACTCTCGCAGCATTCTTCTCGTAGAACTTTGTACACGTCAGACCCCTTCCAAAGAATCAATATTCGGGTTTCTTACAGCAGTCCATTCTGGATCAGGGACGCCGAGATGTTGATACTGAGACTGGCTAGACTCCAGATCACCCATGGCTTTAACTAGTCGGATTTGACAGAGATCACAAGTGACAGAATGATGGCGTGGCTGGCAGACTAGAAGCGACCAGGCCCTTTGCTTCAAGATGGCGATCATGAATTATATGACTGAGGCCAGCTGTACAGCTGCAGGGCATTACCAAAGTCCCATGATGTGTCGCGGGGAAAGGAGGACTTCTGACCGGAAACGGGTTTCCGGCCGTGCTGTGCAACATCACATCGGTCATTGCTTACACCCGTGCTGAGACGGTGATACACAGAAACCTTGGCGCGGGCTTCTTTCGGGCTGAATTGGACATATCAATGGACACTTGATATATGCTACACACCGCCTCATTATCGACGGGGGTATTGGTGAACTGAGGATAAGCACTAGAACTGAACTGGATGCTAAGAGAGCTGCCTGATTTGGTCCAAATCAGACTTTGCGGGGCTTCCGCGGTCTCCGACTGCTAAATTCCTCTGCCACCATCGACGTCTAGAGATGCCCCTGTGATCATGGATGCTTCATCACTGGCTAGGAATGCAACCGCGTTCCCAATGTCTGTAGGTTGAGCGAACCGCCCGAGAGGAATGGTGTTGATAAATCTGTCTCCGCCCTCCTGAGAATCATGTCCGCCAAGAAAGAATGGGACCCTAGTGAACAAATCAGCTTGAGGTAGAAATCAGAATATCTCCCGACTTACATGGAGGTCTCCCCTGCGACGGGATGAATAACATTGAAGCGGATATTGTGCTTCGCCCACTCAATCGCTAGGCCTTTGGTTGCGTTGGTAAGACCTCCCTTACTGGCCCCGTACCACACAAGTGTTGGTCGAGGTCGGACTGACGCCATGCTAGAGATATTGATAAATATTCCACCCTTCTTCTCAGCCAAGAAGTGTGGAATGACCACATTGGAACTCCAGTAGAGGGACTTGAGGTTGACCCTCATGACTCGATCGTAGTCGGCCTCGGTCGTCTCGATGCTTGAACACGCGTTGTAAACAACCCCAGCGTTGTTGACGATGATGTCTAACTTGCCAAAGGTGTCCACCGCAAGGCTCAAGGCAGCTTTCCAATCCGCTTCCATGGAGACATCACCTCTCATAGCCACTGCAGAGCCTTCAGGCTGCAGAGCTGCGGTCTTCTTAGCATCATCTTCGTTGATATCAAAGATGAGTACTTTGGCTCCCTCAAAAGTGAACTTGTTGACAATGCCGACTCCAAATCCGGCCCCACCCCCGGTCACAATGGCCACCTTACCCTCAAGTCGTCCAGGGTGAGACATGTTGAAGAACGGTGAAGAATTCTGAAGAATGCTGAAGAATATTGAGACGAGGCAAAAGTCGAGAGTGACTGTGCGGATTCTAAAAGTCATTCATGCTCAACGGATCACGACCCCTGCAATATCTAGACGAAGCAGTTCATCACATATTTCCTGCTGTGCCATGTACTGAAAGGACGTCGGATATGAGTCTTTGGTTTCTCCGATGCCAATCATGTTGACCAGATGACACATGAGGGGTCAATACGTCATACCATACTGCCTTCTGTGCAGCACCGGCAAAGTATATCCGCCATTATACAAGCAATCATTCTATTGGATCCTGTGGTTGGAATGGAGGCACAGCATCAGTAGCCGACGTCAGCGGAAGATTCATTGACAAGTGCAATTGAGCACTGGCCTCTTGCAGCATCCGCTATTTGCTGTCGCGCGAACGGCGCTGAGCAAAGGTTATTGCCGCAAAGTTACATCAATACTTGTATCAACGCGAACTTTTGTGCGTCTCTTTGTTGAAAGTGATTTCAAGCGAGTTCAACTTTGGCAAAAATCGCACTTCGTTGTTGTGGTGATACTTAGTGGCCCCCATTTCATTACTTCCGGCGAAACTCAACATAGCTAACATTATCAAATCTGTCCGTTCACTCACGAACCCTAATATCTCAACATGGACGCGAATGGGAGAGCCGCAGCTCGTACCGCTGCCAGCGACTACGTTGTGACAGAGTCCCCTCTGGGGACTGCGCGAAAACTCCGTGTGTTGATGGTTGGTGCTGGAGCCAGTGGCCTGAACCTGGCACGGCACATGGACTTTCATATGGAAAACTTCGAGTTGACGATCTATGAGAAGAACTCAGATGTTGGAGGGACCTGGTTTGAGAACAGGTGATTGACCAAGTCTGACAGACTTGACAACTGCTGAGACATGTCAGATATCCCGGGTGCGCATGCGATATCCCTTCTCACAATTACCAATTCACATGGGAGCCCAACCCAGACTGGACTCAGTAGTAAGAAATTGAAGACTCTTAGCCTCAACTACCACAATTGCTCATATTCTCCAGCTACTCTGAATGGGATGAGATCCTGGAGTACTTCAGGGGCATCGCACAGAAATACGAGCTCTATAAGTACATAAAACTCAGCCACAAGCTGACTTCTGCCAGTTGGGATGAGGCATCTGGAGTCTGGAACGTGGAGTGTCTAGACCTTAGTACGGGAAACACGGTTCATGATTGGGGCCATGTCCTAATCAACGGCACTGGAGTGTTGAAGTGAGCCTTCTATTCGAACGGAAAGATGATACTTGCTAACAATTGTAGCAATTGGAAGTGGCCCGACGTACCGGGCCTTCATTCTTTCAAGGGCGATCTCTTTCACAGTGCAACCTTGGACCCGGAATACCAAGTTGCAGAGAAGACGGTGGCCGTCCTGGGTACTGGATCTTCAGGTATCCAAATTGTAGCAACGCTGCAACCTCGTAAGCCCGGGATGCTGATTTTTAAACGAACGGTCGACTCGCATTCTAACATTTCTTTCTGTGAAGTTGTGAAATCATTGGTCACATTCATTCGGTCTCCTACATGGATCACAGCAGGGTTTGCCCAAAGCCATGCCGGCCCAGGCGGGGCGAACTTCTCTTGTGAGCAATGTCAAAGTTTTATTTAAACTGTGTTTTTTCAGACTGCTGAGATTTCAACTCTAGTTACGGAAGAGCAAAAGACCAGCTTCAAAGAAAGCCCGGACGCCTACATGAAGTACCGTAAGGAGATTGAGGGAGAACTGAACTCTAGGTTTCGTTTTGTAAGCAATCTGAATCTTCACTCGGCGCAATTCTCATAAACCTTCAGGTCATTGCAGACAGCGCCGATCAGAAGGAAGCCAGAGAATATTCTAGCAATGAGATGAGAGTCAAGCTCAAGAACGAAGACATTCTCAACTACCTCATGCCCAAGAATTTTGCGGTCGGGTGCCGTCGTCCCACGCCTGGAAACGGGTATCTCGAAGCTCTCACGAAGGACAACGTTCGTGTCGTGACGAAAGATATTGAGAAAATTGTCTCCAATGGTATTCAGCTGACAAACGGCGAGATAATACCAGTTGACGCTTTGATCTGCGCGACTGGATTTGATCTTTCCTTCTGTCCGCGCTTCAAACTGATTGGCAGAGATGGCGAAACCATCGATGAGAAGTGGAAAGATGTCCCTGAGGCTTATCTCTCCGTTGCTGTCCCTGGATTCCCAAACTACTTTAGTGAGCCATTCGTTTCCATTGGCGGTTTAGTCAGATGAGACAGAGGGCTAATATTGGTAGTCTTTCTTGGTCCCAATGCACCCGTGGGTCACGGCTCGGTTCTCCCGATAATCGAACATGCAACAAAATACATCATCAACATGATGAAGAAGGTTCAGTCCCAGAACATCAAGGCTGTATCGCCTTCTGCGAAGGCGGTGGATGATTTCAATGAGCACATCATTGAGTTCATGAAGAGGACGGCATGGGCCACTCCGTGTCGCAGCTGGTTCAAGAGAGGCACCGTGGATGGCAGAATAGTCGCATTGCACCCAGGAAGCCGCATTCACTGGTTCCATATGATGAGTAATGTGCGCTATGAAGACTGGGAGTACACCTATCACTCGGAGAACCGGTTTCAGTACCTTGGAAATGGGTTTTCGACCAAGGAGGGTCCGGGGAAAGATACGACGTGGTACTTCGAGGCGCCAGAAGAAGGATACGAAGACTACTGATAAGGACTTGACACAGATCGAAGTCAAATGACTTTGAGTTTACGTACAATTAATGGCGTTCTCTTCAATAACCCAGGAAGGGCTTGACATGTGCATTGTGAACACGTTGGACAAGACTCAAAGACGCTATGGAGATAAGGCACGATTTCCAAAAGAGGTTTCTCAACCCGTAGATTCACCTATGCTCATCTACCTACCCCAAGGTCCATACCACCCCAGAAACTACTTCATTCGACATCTAATAATTACCGAAATGGAACATCAAGCGCCAATCATACCTGGATATCCATCAGTTTTTATTACGTCAAAAGCCGTTTGGTTTATCTCATGCAACCTACCTCCATTCGGAGCGATAGTGCTAGCAGTCACGAAGCTTGCTCTGCCGCTTGTGACCCAAACGAGACACTCCGCAACCTCCTCGGGAGTTCCAAGTCTTCCGGCCGCCATGCCACTCACCATCCCCTGGACATCAAGACCCACATCTTTATCAGGGACATCACTAAGAATGGATGTTCTAATAACACCAGGACAGATGGCGTTGACCCGAATGCCATGCTTTGCATAGCGAAGGCCATCGGACCTCGTGAATCCCAGGATAGCGTGCTTACTAGCTGTGTAAGCGGGAAGATGGTCATAGGCCATCAAGGCGCACATAGAAGCGACGTTGGCGACTGACCCTCTAGCCGGGAAGTTACTATCCTCTGCTTTGATATGGTCTTGCTGAAGCATCTGCTTGATCTGGGCTCTTTGGCAGAGCCACGTTCCCCTCAGATTCACGCGCTGCTGGAGGTCAAAAGAAGCAACCGATACTTCATCCGTCGGACCAGGAAATAAAATTCCTGCGGCATTGCAAGCATAGTCTATGCGCCCAAGCTGGCGGGATGCTGCTAGCATCATGGAATTCACCGATTCCTCTGATCCAATATCTGCACACATGAGCCTTTTCCCCCAGAAGCCTTATCACCGTGAAGTAAACTGACCAAGCTCAAAAGCTACTACTTTTGTGGAAGAGTACTTCTCTTCAATTTCGGCTTTTAACTCCTCGATTGGATGTTTTTTGATGTCGCCGATAGCAATGCGTCTGCACCCTTCTTTGGCAAAGAGTCTCGCCGTTGCTTGGCCAATCCCTTAAATGGCTTTTAGCTTAACACAAGACTACATGACTGGGTGTGGGTTTACCTGATCCTGCGCCAGTGACAACAGCCACGCCGGGAAAACTAAGTCTCATGATGCGAGAAATTGGATGGATATGCTAGGTAGTATCAGACGAGCCTGAGGACCACTGAAACGATGACGGCAGACGTTGCAGTTGAGGGAGAACGAAGAATCATCTCGTCACCTAATTTGGTCTATGTCTTCTCATGCCGAACACACCCCGGAAACTCGCACCAGAGCCGTGGTGAAGGGCCCCGGGTGTCCGGTCCCCACTGGACCCCTCCAGAACTCAGCGGCTATCCCCGGAAAACAAGAATTATCTGATAAGCCTCACGTGTTAATCAACATGATTTTGCCTTGAAAGCCGTACATGCAGTGAAACATACCGGTATGCGACCCTGGCATTTAGTGGTTATAAGTGGCTGCTTGTGATTGGCTTGACACAAGCGAGATACGAGGACAGTCAGATATTTCCTTGTCATCCTGAGCGACACCCATGTAGTTCGATCTGTCACTGAGCTGGGCCCGCTACGTCCACCAATTGCAGAGTACGCCTTTCTAATGCCAACACCGGCGCATTTAGCTTGATGCTTTCAGCTGATTCAAGCATGTTAAACTAAGCCGATACTCGACTTAATTGCATTGACGTTTTCCTCGAAATCTTGCGCCCGAAGTTTGTTCGTCCAATTTGTCTTCTTCAATCTCACCGCCATGGCTTCGTTTTTTCGGCAAGAGAAGCCTTCTCTCATTGACTCTTATGGGTACAAGTTTCGGCAAACGCCGCTTCATATGTCCCCGGAGCAGCTCGACCCCTTGAAGCACAAGTTCGATGAGGTTGGTTCGGAGGCTCTCGCAGCCTTAGATGGCATGTTTCCTCCTCCGCCACCGCGAGCTGGGTGGTATGCAAAGGGAAAGGGGGAGAACCCTCAGCCGGACCGAGACACGTACGCTCTCCTTCGCGACAATCAACACAAGGACGAGAGATTGCAAAATCTCTGGGATGAGATCAACTCAGTGCCCGACTGGGTTGACTGGGAACAGATACAGCGTGGCCAAGACGTGTTCTATCGCTATGCTCCCGCTGCTGTAGCCGGCTTCGCTTTCCAGGGACTTCTTGCGACCACCGTAAGCACAACTTCTGTATCTTCCGATATGTGGTTCTAACCAACGTGTTTGCAGGGAGCCTCTTATCGACCGGCCGAGACATTGGTGCGCACTGGAGGCCACTCGGCGAAGGTTGCCAAAAACCGTCTTTTCGAGACCTTTCAGCTCATTCTCCAAGTTACGAAGTCAGTCAACGACGTGAAGCCTGGAGGTGACGGTTTTGCATCGGCCGTCCGTGTGCGTCTGTTGCACGCATCGGTTCGAAACCGCATTCTCAAGCTCAACGAACAGCGGCCAGGCTACTTCGACGTCGACAAATTTGGTGTGCCGATCAATGAGCTCGACTCCATGCAATCTGTTTGCGCTTTCTCGACAAATCTCATTTGGCTTGCTTTGCCTCGTCAAGGCATCTATGTGCGACACCAGGAAGCTCTTGACTACATGGCACTATGGAGATGGGTTGGGTACGTCCTCGGCACCCCCCATTGGGTCTTGGAGACGCCAGAGAGAGCTCTTGCGTCCATGGAGTCACTACTGAATGCCTGTCTTGCTCCGAGCAAGAACTCCAGAGTATTGGCCAACAATCTGGTTGTTGCACTGGATGGAGTCGCTCCAATCCACGAGCCCAAAGAGTTCTTCGAGGCGGGGACTCGGTTCATCAATGGCGACCAGATGTGTGACGAGATTGGACTAGGCAAACCAGGACTGTACTGGGATGCAGTTGTCAGAGGTCAGTGCTGGGCTTTGATGGTGATCACGTATCTATCACGATCGATTCCAGCTTGGGACAGGTGGCAAGTCAAGGTGAGTCCCCCCGACCTCCATCGTTGTTGGTTGTCTTAATCAGCGTGTCATCTAACCCGCTTGCACAGACATTCCGTAACCTGTTTTGGGATTATATTGTCGAAAACAAAGACAGCTTGAACGGAGTGTACAAGTACGAGTTCAAGTACGTCCCGCACCACGATGCCCAGACAGGTGCCGAAACCCGAGATAGTCCGAGGGCCAAAATGGGTATCGCCCCTTTGGAGATTTTCGGGCTCTTTGGAATCTCTGTGGCCATGATACTGCTGACGCTGGTGTTGACTCTTGCGGCTAAAACGGCTGTCTATTACGTCCCCAGTAACCCGGGAGTTGTTTTCACAGCTGGGAACTTTTCCAAGCATTGAGAATTTGTGCGAGAGCATTTTCTTCAGCTTCATAGCCCCTTCCCAATCACTTCACGAGCGCTTTGGGGGGAATTTCTTTCAGATGAAATATGTAGCATCGTCTGCCGAACGCGCGGTGTCATTTAGTGCAACAAATTGTAAATTGATTACCTACATCTCTGTAATACAAGATACCAACCCTGGATCACTAGATTCGTCAACGCTGGACCAACTCCATGCTAGATTGGGCGCCGTTGCCCTGATTCATGATTCCCAACAATGAATATTGGTTTCAGGGGAGGACAGAGAGAAATGATATGCACTGTCACTTCCAGGTCCTTCTAAACTGACATCTTGGCAGTTGCTGCAGATTCTAGTTTTTAAACTGGCTCGTCCTATTTGTCTCGTGCTCATCCGTGAATCTTCTTAAGTTCCCGTGCCACGGCGTCGTGGTACCCCTCGATACCCGCTGTCTTCATACAAACAGCAAGAAGGTCTTCTGGAAGCGTCCCGTTGCGGGGAAGATCAATGCTGAGGGTGCGTTTGAAGATACAGGCCTCTTTCTTCGTGCCTCCCACTTCCATTTCTGCCTTCTGAAAAATGTACTCGATAACAGTCGTCCCATCAACGCCATCAGTGATGGCCTCGTCCGTAGCCCCGATTCCGTTTTCTTGGAGGAAAGACCACTTCCACGGCTCGATGGCGGTAATCAAAGTCCATTTGGCGTAGTAAGTGTTGTTCTCAAGGGCAACTTTCTCTGTCCATTGTGATCCGAGAGTCAATGGTAGCTTGAGGTCTTCTTGTTGGATGCCACCGCTGCCTTTGTACGTGAGCGGCCAGTTGTGTGGGTTGGTGACGAAAGCATAAACTTGCTCTCTGGTGTAGGGCAGCAGAGTTTGAGAAGAGGCTGAGCAGATACCCATGATGGCTGCGAAAATCGTCGTGCTGCCAAGGATTGGGGTCGTAGAGGGGAAACAAGGCGTTGGTTGGTTTCTGATACAAAAGCTGAGCAGGAAGGTGAACAACCCAAGCTTCCCCTCATTTGGGGGAGAGATCAGTGTTCATGTGTGAGTGACTAGGGCCCGCAGTGACGATGTGGCTGTGGGCCTGTTGTGAGCTCACAAGCTGCCGGAAAATGTAGCCGGTCATTGATTTAGTGTGATAAGCTTAGCAAAAGGGGGTTAGGCGATACACCGGGATTGACTTGAGACTTTCCGGGCAACCACACACTACCTTCATACCAACGACTGGGATGTTGGACTCTCGGGGTGGCTTCTCAAAGTTACTAGAGTGACTTGAGAGGGTAACGGCGATATTGAACGCCACATCATGAAGCATAAATCGGAGGACAACCAAAGGCTTGAGTTAGTCAAATGTGATTGTGGTCAAAGAAGCTCAACTGCACAATCAAATCTTTGCTTTCACACGTGAAATTTTCACATCTACCTTCAATATGCCATCAGCAACGTCTCAGCCAGCCTTGAGCTTCACCCCTTTACATCCGACATTCGGTGCTTCAGTGGAGGGAATGAAGTGGGAAGCGCCAGTATCACAGCATTCTGTTGCCGAAATTCTTGACGGAGTGCACAAGTATGGAGTTCTCGTTTTCCGGAAAGCCAACCTCGACAACGAGCAGCACATCGAATTCTCACGCCAATTCGGGGAACTTGACGACGTCAAGGCGCACATCCGCGCCGGTCGGGCAATGAGATTTCCTCACCAGCCTCAAATTTTCGACGTCTCCAATCTGGATGAGAAGGGCAACGTCTTGACTGACGTGGAACCCGCGCGTCTAGGGGCGAACAAAGGAAACTTGTTGTGGCATGCGGACATGGCGTACAATCCACAGAGATGCTCGTACTCTTTACTCCGCGCCGTCGAATTGCCACCCAAGGGCACAGGGGGAGAGACGCAGTATTTGGACTCGCGAACTGCCTACGAAGATATGCCTGAGCAACTACGAGCCAAGATTGATGATTTGATAACCAATAATTCTCTCATGCACAACCGCAAGTTGGCAGCTCCCGATATTTTCAAAGATGTCGAGCCACTGGACATGCCAATGTCGCGACACCGCCTCGTGCAACTGCATGAGGATTCAGGGCGCAAGAATCTCTACGTCACAACCTATGCCCATCATTTCGACGAGATGACGATGGAAGAGAGCAAACCACTTCTCGACGAGCTTCTAGCTTGGGTTTCTCAGCCAAAGTACATGCTGACTGTGTCATGGGAGAACGACGGCGATCTTGTCATGTGGGACAACCGCACAGTCTTGCATCGCGCCACGGCTACGGGGAGCTATGGAGGCAAACACCGACGGGACATGAGGCGCACGACTGTCAAGGATGGTGGGAACTCCGGGTGGGGAGAGAACGGTGTGGGCTGTAGCTGGCAAGCTGGGCTTTCGAAATAAGGTTCTCAAACGCTAGCTATCTGCCGCGCAAGAATATGTATGCGCAGGAACTTATTTTCGGTTGTTATTCGTATCACAACAGACGGGAAGTAGGAACGACCTTTACCCGTGAACCCCGACCTCATCCGGACATGGTTTGCCGACACGGGTGCACCCATGGCCCTGGAGTCAGCTCCGCCGCCGACGCTCGCCTATCTGCTATTATTTAGATTATGTTCATTTCAATCGATTCTTTTCAAAGACCAAGGCATTCTTCTTATGCAAACATGTATCACAATGAACAGAAGGACAACAAAAGTCCCCGCCAGACCGCTCAGTGCAACAGCACGGGCCCTGAAGACTTCATACGTGCAGTGGTCAAAAAGACCGGGCCTGCTCTAGGTGTTGCTCTTACTATACCTTCGTTGACGGTTGCTCAAATTGTCAGTCAAGTAGGATGTGACTTTGCATTCATCGATATGGAGCACTCCCCTCTCGTACCAGAACAGATGACTGCCATGGTTCATGGGGTTGTTGCTTCGTCGAGAGGCTCATGCTTCCCACTCGTCAGAGTTCCATCACAGGGAGTCGAATGGATCAAGTGGGCTCTCGACAGCGGTGCAGCGGGTATCATTGTGCCAATGGTGAACAATGCGGCGGAGATGAGGGCGATTGCCCAACACGCCTTGTATCCCCCGCGCGGTAGACGGAGCTTCGGACCAAGCAGCGCGCCTTGGGGTCTCCCTAATGGTCCAGGCGGCGGCGTGGGAGAGTATGTTCAACGGGCATCGGAGGGCAAAATAGCAATTTTGCCCATCATTGAATCTGCCGAGGGTGTTGAAAATATCGAAGATATCATTTCCATTGACGGTGTCTCTGGCGTTTTCATTGGCCCTGTCGACCTCCGACTTTCACTGGGACTTTCAGGAGCAGATGGAGAGGAGCCAGTCTACAAGGCAGCCCTGCAGAAGATAGTCGGGGCGACAAAAAAGCGAGGTATGGTCGTTGGAAGTCTCGCGTTGGATGAGAAGGTTGCAAGGAAGCGGGCAATGGAAGGTTTCAACTTTCTCGTTGTCTCCACAGATGCGATGAGCATGGTCAGTCGGGTAAAGTCAGACTTAGATAGGGCATCCATGGTCACCGCTCCTCATACCGTGGCTTCGTTATGAAGGCAGTGCACTGGAGACGGTGAATACTTGCTTCTGGGCGCATTTGTGCTCCCTTAGACCGTCGTCTTTTCAGGTTGGGGTACGAAGAGGTAGCCACATAGAACATTAAATCATTTCTCTTAGGGAGCTGATTAGATTCTCTTGTTTCATGCAATCAATCTCTTGGGTGCTACAAAAGCTCATTGTAGAAGCCCTGTCGTCACATCAGGAAACCAGAGGTTGTCGCTGAGCCTTGGGTCCGGGCTGAATCCATCACCCAATAGATTTCCCTGGCCAAGAAGGAAGTCATCATGTACTAACGCCCCCATTGATCCCCATGAACCGGATACGGGCTGAGCCACTGTGTTGGCCATGATGCTGTGACTGTCCAGGTTCTGAGTTCCACTGCTCAAGTTCATTGATCCGAAGGAACCGGCCAGTATTGTGTTCTCAGTGATCCTGGAAAGTGTTTGGCGCATCTTTTCAACAACGGGATAATACTTCGGGAGGTCTCTCATGGTCTCAGTGAGAAAGCCAAGCAGCCGAGAGGCCTCGCAATAGCTACCGTCCTGCTCGCCCAAAATAGGTGGCTGTAGTATGTGAGACACCAGCGTGCTTGCCGCAATGTACATGTTGTCCAACATGACGGTGATGAAATTCTCAACACCGAACATCTCGCGATAAGTCAGAAGAAGCCGGCAGATGCATACGGCATTATCGTACAGTATTCGGCGAAAGTTTTTGATCTGGTCGTCGTGGTCGACACCGTCTGCTTTGCTGGAATCGTGTTGTAAGAGGACTTTGACAAGCGTTCGGTGGAGGACAATTTGAATGCCGTGATATTGTATGTTGAGTCCGTATGCTGTGACACAGAGCTCGGAGGTTTGCTTCGATGAAAGACCCGGCGGTAATCTGTCGTGGGCAGCCGAGATACGAGCACTAAGGTCCAAGAGGCTGTCGACGCTGGTCTGGTCCAGCGGTGGGCCAAAGCCGTTGAGCTTCTCTGTTACCTCCGATATGTACTTGCAGAGAGCGACCCAGTGCTCAAGTGGGCCTGTTGATTTGGCCGGCGCAACTTGAGGCCGTCGTTGCTCGAGACAATTCATCGGCACGCAGCTGGGGCGACCAAGGTACAGCGCCCATAGCCTGTCATACACGAAAGCCGACAGGAACAAGGAGACTCTCAAGTCTGCATCTGCCTGAACGAGTATGCCGTGTCTGATCAGTCGAGAGCAATCTTCATGAAGGCCAAGGTCGAATATCAGCCGGCACGCAATGCCTGCGGTGCTTTCTTAGCTTCAGATCAAATATCTCAGGACGCAAACGCACCATTGTATGTCCATCCAATTCTGTCTCTGGCAGACGTTGCTTCAAAGTCGCTCAGCAGCAGGAACCCTTGCAAAGTGGCGATGGTGGGTCTCTCTAACTCAAAGACAATATCCTTCTTCGCCAGGTCGGCATACGCACGACCCAGCTTCCGCACGGAGCTTGATGTTCTGATTCGAGTCGCACATGCTAGCATAGCAGCTTCTAGAAATGGAGAAAAGTATTGGGAGCGTTGTCCGGATGCACGATGGGCCATGAAAAGTGACTCGTCAACAACAGGGACTGAACGAGAAGAAAAGCTCCAGTAGGACTTGAGCAGCATGTCCCTCAGTTGTAAAGAGTCCATGTCTACGGAGAAGCTCGACATGGGGCCAGTATCTGCGTGAATGGGGCCGTCTCCCAGGTTGTTTGCCGGGAGAGATTGGATATGTAGTTGAGTGGTTGGACCATAATATCTCACCTGCCCAAGACTTGAATCTGCATCCAAGTTCTGCGTGGTTTCCTCAATATTAGGCTCTGGAAGTCGTTGAGAAATGGTCTCAGGCACAGATGGGTTGGCTGCTGTATGGGCATCGAGAGGGACCGGGGAACCTAACTCAATCGAGTTTCCCAATTGAGGGTCTATATTCTCTGTCTCATCCGTATTGAATAGATCTGATGGAGACTCACGTCGATCATCATCACCGTCTTCGTGAACTTCGTGATGTGATACTGGTGTACGCTGGCTGCAATATCTTAGCTGTGAACGTGCCAAGGGCATTGGAACATTCATGGCAACATAGAACAGGGCAGCCGTTGAATGGGAAATTCATTGCAGAGACTCACTCTGAATGTTCGTCGCCACTAAGATCTCTCACCGAACTGACCTTGTCCATCAGGTCGGCATGTGGATAATCCAAGGACAATGTATCCGGTGGCGAACATAGAGCCGATTGAGGGTCTTGAGTCCTAGTTGTATTTTGGAGATTTTTGATGCCACTCTTACTGAATGTGGTAATTAATGATCGTAAACAACATGACCGATGTGAAGACCTCACCTGATGAGTGCTTCGAGAGATTCCAGTCTTCCTTGCAGAGCAACGATGTACTCCCGCGACCCATGCCTACAGATAGGCTCAGTTCAGATATCAGCACTCGTACTTCATACAATTTCGGAGTTAAAGGAAGGGACTTTTGCTCTCTGACTTTCTTCTGTCGCCATTAGGCGTAGTCACGCACTCAATATTCGCATTTCGGCAGGCTGTACAGCCTGTTCCTGGCTCTAGATTCTGAACATCGCACTTGGCTCTACGTCAGTCTTGTCATGGCTTAGGAAGGAAGTCGAAATACCTTTGTTTTCTTTTGCCGGCATCCAAGGCATGCCATGGACGCCCGGGGCTGGCTGCGGGCGGAAGGTTTTGACACGCGCCGCGAAGCCGCTGGGCTGCCGGCCGGGCCTTGAGAGCTCGGAGGCATGATACCGGCCAGGCAAACGTTCTTGTTCAGCAGGGTCACAGGTGAATGGCGTGGTGCGGAAATAGTGTGTCAAACAAGCGCGCCGGAAGATGACCTATGATGCGGATATCTCAAAAACAAAACACACTCGTTGGCAAGTATAAACATCTTTTCTCATCTTTCCAGCCCCTGGTCTACCAAATGCAGGCCTCCCCAAGCGGCTTCAGGCTTGTGCGGGGAAGAGAGGAGCTAAACATCCCCTGTCTTGTGGAGTGCATTAGGGGGTTGCAGAAGATCTCACAGTGCGAACGCAAAGCATCCAGATTCGTTAAGGATCAGTTTTGTTTTGGACGGCTGAAGGAGGGTCCGGAATGTCAAAGCGTATCAAGACCTTAGCAATAGGTGGTTTGCTGTTGGTTGGTTGCAGCGGCATAAGCAAACCACAGAAGACGGCACGGACATGGCTCTTCCGGCTGCATTTTCCGGGCTCATTTTCGTCCCTTGCCTTCACGTGAACTCGGTGAGACAGCCAGCCACATACCCTTGTTCATTCGGTGAGATGCCTGCAGCCTTAGCGACCGAAATCCCCGCCTAGGGGTGTGGTAAACCAGCAGGTCTGTGCCTGCAAGGACTTCGTCTTCCCCAGCTCGCGTCGGTGACGTTGATTGACCTCAACCGCCATATCTACACCGTCCCTCTCGAATACTGCAATATCTTGAGCACAGATCGTGACACGTTCTCAAGAGTGCGGCGGTCGCATGATGGAAACTGATTCCAACAACGGTTCAAGGGGCCAGGACGGGCCCCGCTCGCGGAAACGAGCAGCAGCCTCTCAGGGCAAGTCGGAGTCAGCGGCCGAGAAAAAGCGTACGCAGAACAGGATCTCTCAGCAATGTGCGAGAGAGAAGCAGTCTGCATACATCCGCCAGATGGAATCTTTGGTCGCAGCGTTGAAGACTCCAAATGAAGATGCTACGGAACAAACGAAGTACGATGAACTGGTCAAGGCCCACCTCAAGCTCGCGGAGGAAAAGCAGCAAGTGGAAGACGCGTTATTTCGCCTTCGTCAAAAGCTCCTGAGCGTTGGAAACCTTGCCACGGCAGCCGCTGGTGAGTGAGCCTATATTGATCTCCCATGTCAGGCTTCAAGGTAAAGCAAGCCAGCAACTAAGACACAAAGTAGATGATCCTATATTCGCAACGCTAAGCAAGTCATCCTTGGAGTCAACTAGCGAGAAAGAAGCTCCTGTGTTAGAGAGGAGTGAAGAAGAGCGTTCGTCAACGATCGTGGTTCCGCCAAGGGGGCTGGGTCCTGCCCCCGCGGCCGATGTTGCCGATCTTTCTGCGTCTAATCTCGGGGCTCCGGATGCGAGCTCGGGAGGAGCCGCTATGGGGCTGCAGTCAGCTCCAGAACATGCAGACACCAGCTACGTGTCCCAGTCATTGCATGATACCCGCAGTATCTTGCAATCACCTTCCGCTTTCTTGCCGGCGGATCTGACAATGATGCCAAGCCTGACCACTTCCATGCCCAGCTGGGGCTCTCCTTGTGCCTCGCCGAACCTACGTTTCCCTTTCGGACTGTTTGATTCAAATGCGATGCCAACCATGATGTCCCTACCTTCCGACATGATGTCCTTCCAGCACCCCCAGCCCTCGGGTGACGAGATGACAGCTATCATCAACAACTCAAGCCTATTCGCCGACCAAGTCAAACTGGCCGCAAACCATGTCATGTCCAAATCAGTCAGCACATCTCAGGATCAGATCGGCCATCCCCTCGTCATGGCCAACCAAGCACACTTGGTGAGCAAGCTTGCTTCAATTGCTGTTGAAGTCATAGGCGCTCTTGCAGGCCTGGAACCATACATCTACGGCGTTGTACGTGTCTTCACTCACTGCCTTGACACCAGCTATTCTTGATTGCTAACGACCAGAGCCTCAGTACTTCTCCAAGTACATGGAATCCGTCATGCGCTGGCGAATCTCAAACTCCGTCGAAGACAGACTGCAAATTCCCGTGCCTTTCCGACCCACGCCACTCCAATCCGCCACGCCCTTCCACCCAGTGGTCATCGACTTCATCAACTGGCCATCTATCCGCGATCAGATGATCCTGTACTCATCCAAACTTGACCTTGACGCCATGAGCAGGGACATTGTCTTGAACACCGTCGTTGAGTTGCCTAGGAAGCGCGTATCTGTCAACATTCACGATGTGTTTTTCAACCACATCCTTCCTCGTGTCGGCGGTGGTCGGGCCGATGGCAGCAATTCTATGTTGCATAATCGTGAATGGATATACTTGAAAGTGCCCGTCAATTCGGCCGGCGGCATGACGTACACCGGCTTTGCCCTGGTCCAAGAAGCTCTCGCAGCTGAAATGGACTGCAGGATGGGACAAACCCAATCTCCTAGATCGACTAGAACGCATCTCAGGCCATCTGATGAGGGTTTTGCCAGCAGAAGCGCCCCGTATGGTCCAGAAATGATGGTCGCGGATGCCTTAGCAGCCTTCGGAATTGACCAGCCTTCCAACTGGAAGCTTAGCAAAGACTTTGCCAGAAAATACCCACATATCGATTGCTCGCTTGGTCTGTCAAACTTCCAGATGCCGACGTATTTATCATACAAACTTACTGACTATAGAGCAGATGTTTCTCAGTATGAGATGGTTTCCTCCTCCTCAATTTCATTAGACGATGTAGTAGAGTTATAGCGACCAGCATTTCCATCCCCAAGGAGCAAGCCGGGCGCCCAAGACTGCTTTCTGATACCAGCCCGTCTGTTTACACATTCCATACTCTTTCAACAATGAATCGCTCAAATTGATCCGTTCGAAAATGGCATCCTCTCCTCCGTTGCGCCTTCCTCATTACCTTTCTTCTTTGGTCCATCGTGAACCATTTCTACCATCCTCCTGACTCTTGCGTCCTCGGCATCCTTGTCCGGCTCATATCCGACAAACGCCCTGTCGATAGCATCTAACGCCATGTAAGGGCTCAGATCGCCATTCTCCGCCATCATGTTCCTAGTGAAGCCTAGGCCCAAGAATTCCCACATATTGTGCTTATTCGAGTACCTGATCTCGAAATCCTCGTACCTCGGCTCTGCGATCAGTTCGCAAAAGTGCAGGCTGCTACCAGGCCAGATCGCGTTGACGCGCCCTGTGTTGTTATCCTTGTACCACGATCGACACCCAGAGTCCGCCCATGCGGTCCCGACCATCCAGGCCTGCGCATGCTCATTGAACTGGTCTGTGACGGACTGCTTTGGAACTATAGATGCAATGTTCTCTCGCTGCATCTTCTGTATGGCCTTCAGGATGTACCGCCCTACAGCTTGGAGGGGGCCCATGACACTTCCGTTGGCGATGGGGAATGACGGCCCAACAACCGTGAAGTAGTTGGGTATATCGGGCACGCCCACGCTGAGATATCCTTCAGGAACTTTCTTCCATTTCTCCTGTAGGCTAATTCCGTTGCGTCCGACGACTGAGAAAGGCGGTCGGAAACTGACGTCGAAGCCGGTAGCGCAGATGATGGTGTCAACGTCGACCTCGTCACCATTGGATGCAATGATGGTGGATGGGGTGACTTTTGTTACTGCACCCCTGTGCAACTGAATGTTCTCCTTTTGGACTGCGCGCATGTATGGGTTACCAGGCGTTAGTCTTCGGCAGCCAACAGCGAAATTGGGTAGTAATTGCTCAAAGATGTCGTCTCTATGGATGAACTTGCGCATGCGGTCTGTAAAGTGCTCGCGAATCATGCGTGCCTCGGCACTGTGGACCATGAACGCCCGTAATCCGGCTGCAGTGTTCAATTTGTCTTCGATGAACTTGGCTTTGTGAACAAGAGCTTTGGTGTCGCTCTTCATGGACTCGCGCTCGTATGTAGTGTCTGGGGTAACATCTTTAGCAAGCTGCAGAGAGGGTTCCATTAGATGGAGTAATGCTTACAGTCAAAGTTGTCGCCGCTATGATCCGCAAACTCTGCAAACCACACTGGGGTCCTGACAAAGATGTCCATCTTTTCGACATGTGGTTGCATGGTAGGGACAACCTGCATGCTCGTCGCTCCAGACCCAATGACTGCCACCCGGCGACCTTTCCATTGCTCCTCGCCAAAGTCGGTAGGCCAACGTGCGGTATGTATCAGTCGACCTTTGAAGGAATGCAGACCCTCGACTTCTTCGGGAAACTTCCATGAGTTGAGAATTCCGTTGGCGCCGATTACGACGTTGGCTACGTCTTCTCGAATCTCTCCGGTTTCTGAATCCTTGATGCGGATGTGCCACTGAGACTCGTCCTCATTCCAATTGCAGCTTATTACTGTTGAATTGAACACCATCTGCTTTCGAAGCCTGAAGCACTCAACAACGCGGTCGAGGTAGCGGAAGATGTCCTCGGATGGACTTAAGTACTTTGGCCAGTCGGGATACAAGGCGAAAGCAAAGGCGTACGCATGGGAAGGTACATCGCACGCACAACCCGGGTATCTGTTCTATGAGATCGTCAGCGTCGTCTAGTTGAGTTGTGACAAGAAGACGAACCTCAAGCCAGGTTCCTCCGATATCACCATTCTTCTCATAAACTACGTGTTGAATGTTTTCGCCGTGTTTCTGTATCAAGTATGACATGAGTATGCCACTAATCCCGGCTCCAATCGTGATGACTTTGATTTTCTGATTTGGAGAGTTGAGGACGACGTCGGGGATTTGGTACTCTCCAAGGCTATGTCCTAGCCGGTATCCGTACTTTCCCCCGGGCTGATCATCTTGTACATCACCATGTCGGGAGGCGTTTCCATTCGTGCTAGGGTCAAATACCATCGCGTCGGTCTCAATAACGAGCGGTACTGTGAGTGCTTGCTTTTACGAGATTAAGAGCCTGGTCGATGACTTCGATCCCGTTTAGTCGAGTAAGGTTTGGCATCCAAAGTCGAGACAACCGAGGTAGGGAATAGCCTTCTGGCGTCTCATCATAGACTTGAACATGGACGAATAATTATAGACTTTAATGGTTTCCTTCGCTAGACATGTCACTCGCAGATTGCTAGATTGAATGTTGGCACACGAGTGTTCCACGGTCTCCGGAAAAGGGCTCGCGGTTCGCCGACACTGGTTTGATAGATCATTTCAACCGTGCGCCTGATACACCGAGGCGCATTCAGGAGCCCCAAGCTCCCAAAAGTTGCATCCATTCCCCAGGGCAGTGCGTGTGCACTGTACGCTTTCGAGCGTTGCCATGCACCAACAAAGCTCCCCCGCATGATGCATCCACTCCCGGCTCCACTCCACCAAGATGACAGTGAAATATCGCTGTCATTCTTATTTTGACGCAGTCACTGTGAATTCTCAGGAGTAGGTTTGGGCAACGCTCGCCCTTGAGCCACGCTGTATTACTAGGTAGGTCACCAACAAGGACGACGACGAATCTCAAATCCTGAAACTCAAAGCGCGAAATGACGGTTACATGATGTAAAGACATCAACTGCCTAGGGTCCGGCAATGAGTACCCATTCTTTAGCTAGTTCCTCCACGGATATTCATAGACGGAAGGAAAATACATGAGATGATCTGGAAGACGGGAAATTGAAGCCGAGACAGGATGGGCGCTTTATCAGATTTCAGGATTGTGCATTCAATTTGAATTAAAAGTCTAGCCGGCCTGTGAACGTCACTTACAAGGTCACGAAAATACTCACTAGAAACAGCAGATTGTCGCAAACCATTCTACGTATCCCACAAGACCACCATCATGAACGGAACCGATTCAACCCTCTCATTTTTAACATTTTGTAACGTCATCGACGGGGCTTCAGCTACCACCACGGAAACTCGACATGGCATCAACCCGTCCACTCTTGAAGCTAACCCTGAAGTCCCAATCTCACAGCCTGAAGATGTAGATCGAGCAGTTAAGTCAGCGAGAAAGGCGTTTGGGACATGGCGTCTTGTGCCGGAAGAGGATCGCAGGAAGGCCGTGGCTGCATTCGCAGCTTCGCTTGGCGAGCACTTACAGGATTTCGCCACGATGCTTGTCAAGGAGCAGGGCAGACCTGTAAGATTGGCTAAAGCCTGTCTTCTGATAATCATTTGTTGACAAAATGCATTTAGATGTGGGGTGCGCAAATGGAGGTATCTGCTTCTGTTGATCGGCTTGCGGCTACGGCCAAGATTCCACTGCCAGAGACCGTGGTTGAAGACACCGAAAAACGTCAAATCGTAACCAGATATACGCCTTTAGGGGTCGTGTGTGCCATTGTGCCTTGGAACTGTATGTTGAACTCCACATGGGCTTCCCATGGAATAGGGTCGGGATTGCTAAAATAGATGATTGCCTAGTTCCCATCAATCTAGGTAAGCTCTTTTGACTCACTCGTTCAAAGACAAAAAATGGCTCACATTTGGTTTCATAGCCTGTACCAAGCTCGGAGCTGCCCTGGTAGCCGGTAATGCCATCATACTGAAGCCATCGTAGGTCACCCTTTTGAAAAGCTCGCACGCAATATTCATACAATCCACTAAACTTATTCAAGCCCTTTCACTCCTTACTGTGGTCTGAAGCTTTGCGAGCTCGCTCAGCGATTCTTCCCGCCTGGGGTAGTCCAATGCCTCAGTGGCGACGATAGGCTCGGTCCATGGCTGACAGCACATCCTGGCATTGACAAAATCAGTTTCACAGGCTCGTCTGAGACTGGTAGGAAGGTTATGGAAAGCTGCAGCAGAGGCTTGAAACGTGTCACTCTTGAGTTGTGAGTTCATACTGACCACTCATCCTGCAAAGCATTCTTCGGTGAACTCATACGACGCTTAGAGGCGGAAATGACGCTGCCATTGTTTTCCCAGACGTTGACGTCGCGTCGACCGCCACAGCAGTGAGTATTTCAAAGCCATCTGCTCTGATTCAACCAATAGTTAATGAAGCTAATCTCACTTAGATTGCCCAAACATGTCTCTTCAACACGTCTCAGGTGAGAGGGGGCATCCACTGATGATTGTTTGAGGTAGTGGTTTGTTTGTGCTAAGGGTCTTTTAGGTCTGCCTAACGATCAAACGTATTTATATTCATACGGATATCTACCCTCAGTTCCTCCAAGCTTTCCGAGCGGTGGTTGAATCCTTCAAGCCTAGTGACGGCTTTGCTGAAAGCGCTCTTCTGGGACCTATCCAAAACGAAACACAGTTCAAGAAGATCCAAAACATGGTATCGGAAGTGAGATCGGCAAACCTCAAGATATTCTCCGGTAACACATCACCTGCCACGACCGGCAAGGGGTATTTCATTGCCCCCGTCGTGGTGGACAACCCGCCTGATGATGCACCCGTGGTCACTCAAGAGCCTTTCGGTGAGTCTTTCGGTCCTCAAACGACACCCGATGTCATTCTAAGTTATGCAGGACCCATTATTCCGCTTCTCACCTGGTCGGACGAGGAAGATGTCATTCAGCGAGCCAATGACAGCAAGCTTGGTCTTGGGGCATCTGTGTGGACACTAGATCTTGACCACGGAGCGAAGGTAGCCAGACGTTTGGAGGCAGGAAGTGTTTGGATCAACAATCATATGGATCTCGGTTCCAGTGCACCGTTTGGAGGCCACAAAGAGTCTGGTTTCGGGGTCGAGGGGGGACTCGCGGGAATCATCGGTTACTGCAGCTCGCAGACACTCTATGTTCCCAAGAAATAGCCATACAAGTATGAAGTTAACCAATCAACACTATAAATGCCACATTCTTGCGCAGTAGCAATGTGTCGAAACCGTAGTTTCAGGTCTATTCTCACCCGACCATTTCTTATTGCAATAGTGAAGTAGTATTTACAGGATTTGCATAAATGTGCGGTAGGCGTCTCAAATCGGTGTATGGGCATGTTGCCGGAAAATACAACCGAGGCTTGGTAAGCTCGTGCTTCCCACCCCACCTTGCATCATTTGCAGTATCTGCACATATTGTATGCGATAACAACAAGCGGTATTGAGTAATCAAATTCGACGATTGCTGTTATCTAAACAGTTCGTTGACACAGTCGCCATCGCCTGGTCTTCACCTCACCTCGTCCAGGCAGTCAAGATGTTGTCAATCGACGAGGTAGCAACGCATAATTCTAGGAACTCATGTTGGATCGTTGTTTCTGGTCACGTCTACGACGTGACGGACTTCTTGGATGACCATCCAGGAGGGGCCGGTGTGATTCTGCGCTATGCAGGGAAGGTATGTGTGTTGAACGAAGAGATGACAGCTTGTTGACCAAGTTCAAGGATGCAACTGAAGAATATGAGCCGATACATGCTGAAGGCACGATTGAGACGCATCTACCAAGAGGTTATCTACGTTCTTCACTCATTGGCTTATGAGAAACTGCGGGCTGATCCATTACCAGATAAGAGGCTTGGTCCTGTTATTCAGTCACCGAGTGCTGAAAAGAAGAGGTCCCAGTATCCCGACCGAAGTCAAAGCAAAGCAACGGAAGGCTCAGCAACGGTGCTCCCACTTTCAGCTTGCCAATCTCTCTCTGACATTGCCCAAGCTGCCGCTCTCACTCTTACGCCCAAAGCAAAAGCGTACTACACCAGTGGCGCTGAATCGCATACTTCCTTACTCCGTAACCAATCGGATTGGTCTCTCGTCTCTTTCCGACCTCGCGTTCTTCGTAATGTTTCAAAGGTCTCAATGACTTGTCGAATTATGGGTTTACAGAGTAGTCTGCCTATCTTTATAGCTCCCGCCGCCGCAGCCCGCTTAGGTCACGTCGATGGCGAGAAGTGTTTGGCCCGAGGAGCAGCACGTATGGGAATCCCACAATGCGTTAGCACGTATTCATCCGTGGCACCAAAAGACTTGACGGAGTGCTTTCAAGCGGAGACGGCCGGTCGCGGCGGCGGGATGGTGTTCCAGCTCTATGTGCCCAAGGTGAAAAAAGACGCCGAAGGACTCATATTGAAGGCAAGAGAACTCGGTTTCGACGCTTTGGCTGTTACGGTTGATGCCCCGGTAATCGGGAAGCGGGATGTGGATGATCGCTTTAAGGCCTTGCTGGACTACGAGGCAGGCGTCGCCGTACAGGACAGCACGACACACCCTCCATTCCCAGGAGAAGAGGCAGAAACACTCCGTGGCCACCACTGCTCTTCCTTTGAGTGGAGTGACATTCCTTGGATTCGAGGGCTCTGGGGCGACCAACCGATCATCTTGAAAGGCATCCAAACGTGGGAAGATGCGCTCGAGGCGACGAAGTATGGAGTTGATGGTATTTACCTGAGCAACCACGGTGGGAGGCAGCTCGACCACGCACCGAGCTCTGTCAGAGTTCTGCGTGATATTCGACTTCGTTGTCCCGAGGTGTTCAAATCCTTCGACATCTACGTCGACGGTGGTGTAATGAGAGGCACGGATGTAGTCAAGGCCCTCTGCTTGGGTGCACGAGCGGTGGGTATCGGGCGCGGGTTCATGTACGCGCTCAGTGCCTATGGTACAGAAGGCGTGCTCAAGGCGATATCAAGTGAGTCACACGTTAGCGAGCCAGACGGAACAGATTGCTGACTTGTTGTCTTAGTCTTGAGCGACGAGATACAGACCACCATGAGACTGCTGGGAGTAACTGATCTCCAGCAATTAAACGAGAGCTACATAGACCTCAACGACTTGGAGTCTTCGACTGGGAGACACCAGAGGGTTCTGTCCAAAATCTAGCCAAGCATCGTATGGTGCAGCGTCCGTTATTTTATCATGGCTTTTTTCTCTTTCGGGGGGTGACTAGGTGTTAATGTTTGAAGTTCTTTATGTATCACTTCAGGAAAATATCCAACTTTCGTATGTCGATCAGTTGCCCCATCGTCCACGGAGACCCGCACATCTACACCGCACATCGGCAGCAGCTCTGGGGCTGAAGGATCGTAAAGAGGCATACAAGGGTAGAGATTTCAATTGCCCGGGGAGGGTACCCGAGTTCGATAGGTTAGATGCTGATCATCAACTATTTGGCTCAATTTATGAGTGGAACCGCAGAATGCCAGCTGGAATTGTCCATGTTTAGCCAGCCTGCCCGCACAGCACTCTGCCGTGTAACCTTGCACCAACACCTGCAGGCTGGGCACCGCAAAGTCCCCATACACATGCGTCTACTTTGATGTTACTTGATGTCAGCATCAGATATTAGCGGAGTTAGTGCGTCTGGGCGACAACCAAAAGACCCGCGCAGGATAAGGATAAGCCCCGCGATTTGCGCGTATTTGTCTCTGCATCTTACCATTCAACATACGTATTACCAAACTCCCAAGCACGACTCTCTGACTATCCTGCAACTCTATTTCATATCAACCATCATAGTTCTGAGATTGGCCTCGAGCACTGTACTGTCAATGGCGTTCATTACATGTGCAACGAACCATGCCATGCTAACCTCGTATGTGAGTACGAACGACATCTTGTTTCCTTCACATCCTCTTCTACTAACACCTCGGGTTGTAGGGTGATGCTCTTGAGTCCGCTGGGCTGAAGGTCCTCCGGCAAGGTACAGCGGCTTATAAAGCTCGTGATGAGTCCTACTTCTCTGTTTCAGCCCAGCTGAGCCCTGGTTTCATCGTCCAACCATCATCAGCCGCAGAGATCTCTCTGACGGTCACGAAGTTGAAGTCAATGGGCTGTAACTGGGCTATCCGCGGCGGTGGTCATGCAACATGGGCTGGGGCCTCCAACAGTAGGTTGAATTCTTCCGGCCAGTTCTCGAGTATGACACAAATTTGCTGATTGTCAAGTTGCCGATGGTGTCACCATTGATATGGGCCTAATCAAGGAGGTACAATACTCACCAGATCTGAAGATTGCGAGTATTGGTGCCGGTGCTCTCTGGCGCGACGTCTACTCCTCGCTTGAGCCATACGGTGTGACGGCTCCAGGAGGTCGCACCTCAACCGTCGGAGTTGCCGGTTTCCTCACCGGTGGCGGCAACAACTTCTTCAGCGCCGATGTCGGTCTTGGCTGCGACAATGTCGTCAATTTCGAAGTCGTCCTGGCCAGCGGCAAGATTGTCAACGCCAACAGGGAGACCAACTCTGATCTGCACAAGGCCCTCAAAGGAGGATCGAATAACTTTGGCATAGTCACCCGCATCGACATGCAGACTGTTGATGTTGTAGAGATCTGGGGCGGTCAGATTGTTTACCCTCTCAGCACGACAGAGCAACACATTGCCGCCTATGTGAAGTGGGTTGACAACATTCCCAACTACACCAAGGGCTCGGCTGTCACATTCTGGGCTTACTCACCATCAGCCGGCACCGTCGTGTCAACTGCTGTCCATGATACCGCAAACGCTGAGTGGGCCCCAGCTTACGACGATTTCCGGAACATCCAACCTCAAACCATGAATACGCTCCGCCACGATAGTCACCTGAATATGACGGTCGAACTCGAGGAACCGACTGGGTACCGCCAGGTCTGGTTGACTTTGACGGGAAAGAACGATGCACGTTTCATACGCCGTGCTGTCGAAGGCCAAAGCAAATTCATCGAGAGCTGGAAGAACACCCAAGACGCTGATTTTCTAAACTACATTACCTTCCAAGCCATGCCAGCTTTGCTCTTCCGTCACTCGGTCGAGAAAGGCGGTAATGCCATCGGTATGGATCGCGAGAAGTGCAACGCAATTCTCTTCCAGATGCAGCACATGGTTCGCTCTGCAGACGCTGAGAAAGAGGCCCGTCGGCAACTTGTCGCTTTGCGGAAAGAGCTGAAGGACTACAGTGTCGCAGAAGGTATCGATGTGGAGTGGGAGTACCTGGGATACGCGGACAGTAACCAAGATCCGCTGAGCACTTATGGCCCTGAGAATGTCAAGTTGCTCAAGGAAGTTGCGGCTAAGTACGACCCAGAGCAGGTGTTTCAGAAGAGAGTTCCTGGAGGCTTCAAAATCTCCAAGGTTGCGTGAGTTTCATTCGCAACATGGATGGCCAACGTAGCCGCGTGGTAGCTCAGCGCGGTGGAATGTCTGAATTCGGTCCAAGTAGCCGCCTTCCCAATGAATCAGGATACGCAAATCATATTTCACATTCGCACATTTGGTTAAAAAGCGATGCACTCGGCTCGCTCGCTCGGCGAGACTATTCGGGCCACTCGGCGGGGTTGTTCAAGTCACGCATCATTGGGTTTTTGAAAATGGCCGATTGCCGCACCAAATCCATCGCACCAAGCTTAAAGTCTTGTCTTCTCTTGGATAAGTGACGGGACACTTACTCTCTATTCACGAAACATAACGCATCAAGACCTCAAAGGTATCTCGGAGTTTCCGATCCAATATTGTTGACTTACAAGCGAAGTTGAACCACTCTTATTCCAGATTGAGCTTAGCGTCCGAAGCGCAAGTCACGAACCGAACGATACGAGCGCTCCGAACGGTGCGGAGTAACTAGACCCTCCCGTCTATTTACGGATCGCCGCCCGTGGATTCCGCGTCGTGCCCACGACCCATCAGCGCCCTTCAAAAAAAGTGCGACGTTAACTCCCTCTCAATCAAACATCAAGGCTGCTACTGGTGATGCACTCGGTTGTCTGTGCCGGCATTTGAAAGCACGGAGGATCGCAGCCCCGAGATCGATCCGCTGTCCCGGGTCAGTACCGACAGCCAATGCGAATACTTTGAAACTTTGAAACCCTTGCGACGCACGAGTCCGATTTGGTGCTGCTCCCACCCCGGGCGAATGATCGGGGGCCAAACCCGCCAGCGGCATGGAGATCATCGCGGATAGCAGCAATTTGAAGATTTCAAAGAGGCCGCACCGCAAGTCCAAGCTGGGTTGTAAGACATGCAAGCAGCGGAAGATAAAGGTTCGTCCCAACTCAGTTTTGTGTACATCCCTGTGGCTCTGCCTCTGGTCCCCTATTCTCTCCGAAAACACCTGGTCCTCTCGTACAGATCGACAGCTCAGTCTATAACAATATGCATATAGCACTAGCATACTGACCTGTCACACTATCCAGTGCGATGAGCTGAAGCCAGCATGTCAGAACTGCGTTAGGCATCTGGTAACATGCGACTTCCTAAAGAGCCATCCAATATCATCGCCTTTTCCAGCATTTGGCATGCACATTTCGCTACAGCAGAATGCATCGTCGCCAATACCATTACCACCGCAGTTGTTGGACCCTCCGGTGGACCAAGACCTCAACTTCGTGGACCTGGAGCTGATACACAACTACACCACTGCTGTCTACATGACATTGTCGACGGATCCGCTGGTACGCCAAATGTGGAGGGTGTCTGTGGTCCGGCTGGCTCTCAAATGTGACTACGTGATGCGAACACTGCTGTCCATATCGGCGTTACACCTGGCCCATCAACGGCCAGAACGCAAGGAGGCACTTGTGGCTAGAGCGTTGTTGTACCATCGTCTTGCAAGTCGTGAAGCAATGGGGCTGATGAGCAGCTTGGATGAAAGGAACGCTGAGAACCTGTTTCTCTTCTCTCTGTTGACAATATTCTTCGGTGAGCCGAGTTTCTATATAGCCTGCTAAAATGCAGGTAGAAGAGTCAAAAGCTGACCTCAGAATTATTTTCCAGCTCTGGCATCTGGGCGCTACCTTAAAGAATCAGCCGTCGTCTGGGAATCCGCTTTTCCAGACTGGACTTTCCTACTCTCGGGTGCATGTTCGCTCATAAAACTCTTGAACGCGAGGATATACGACGGACCTCTGCTACCTATCATTCGGTACGCGACGGAAAGGTTCTTCACGGCCCGAGACGAGACTTCGGCACACCCAGAGAATCTCGAAAATCTCAGGAAGCTCATTGGCAGCAATTGTCGGGACGAGAACCTATTAGATATCTACAACTACGCCATCGACGAGTTACGACACCCTCTCTCGCTCGCGCTGAACGGTGGCGGCCATGGCATGGATATTATGGACATGTTCATCTGGAAGTACTTTGTCGCGGAGGATTTTCTGCCCTTGCTGAAGACACCTGAGACGAACCAGGAGGCCGTTGTTATTTATGCTCACTTTTGCATTGTCTTGGGCAAACTCGAGAGCCAGTGGTGGTTGCAAGGATGGGCAAAGCATCTGATATCTCAGGCCTGGGCGTTGCTTGACGAGAGGTACAAGCCCTGGATACAGTGGCCGATGGAGGAGTTAGGGTGGGTGCCACCACAATAGTGTATTTTTGACGTACTATAGAGCTTATTTCAAAGCACATTGATGGAGCACTCCCCGGTCCTTACGTCAGGTATGACACCGAAGCAATCTCCGCGAACTCTTCCATTTGGGGACGGCTGAGGGGAGCGTTTTGACCTAAATAGGGAAGTACTGCTGTGTTTTTTTGTTTTTTTTCCAGCCATATTTCAACAGTTCAGATAGGAAAAACCAAACGCCTACAGGCCACAAGACAATCCCGTCCGATTTCCCCCCGGATTCCCCTAAAACCGGGGCCGTCCCGGCCTTCAGCAACCAGAACATCGGCGCCGGTGCCGGTCTCCACCAGGCCGTCACAGGCTGCCCGCCATTCTCCACTTCCCGTCAAGCACGGACCCACTCTGGCAGCGGGATGACGTCGCAACCCGCAATCGAGATCCTGACCAGCTTTTTGGGTGTCACCTTCGCCCGCCCTTCATCCCACGTGTCGAAGCGCATCACTCGCAGCCTTGGTCGCATCAACCCAAGCCCAACGGTCATCTTTTGGGCAGTAGCGAAAGATCCACCAGTCGATAGCCAAGCCTTGCAAAAGTTTCAAGCGACATCCTAGACTCTCGAGATCACCTTTTGGTCATGATTGGACTCTGGAACCACCCTGCGTGGCGTGAGAGAGGTCGTTGATGTGGCTGCCAACTTCCAGGATTTGATGTCACCGCACCGATGATGTCTGTGCAGGGGTCAGCTCTGAGTCTCGACTGGGATCCTCCCCGGTTGCCTGACTGCGCGGCCAGCCTATGGCATCCCGCAGCGAAGCCTCCATCACGGCCGTTATGACGTATCCACGGGCATCATCAGCCACACGCACGCACGCACGCGTTGGCGAGGAGGGATGGCGAGTGACGACTCTGACGAAGTGTGTGCGCGTGTGCCTGTGTGTGTCTGGGCCTGGGAGAGGGGTTTATATCAGGCCAGAGCTCTTTCGTGGTTCCTCGTCCGTTTGAGGTGTTCATCTTGTTGATCCATTCTAGACTTCAGTCGATTTCTCAGTTGAAATTCACAAACGAATAATATCACATTTCCACCGAATCTCAATATCAAAAACCAGACAACATGGAGTGGGCAAAGCAGACGTACAACCAGCAGTACGAGAGATGGGTCCCTTGGCTCGAGGACTTCTACCTGCGATGGTTTACCAAGGACAACAAGGCTAGCTACACTACAAAGGGTAATCACCATTCTATGTCACCCCGTTCTTCTTAGAAACAAACCGTAGTGGCACATCGCTAACTCGTGAACTTCCAGACACCCTCGACAAGACCAAGGTGACCGGCGTCGAACAAGTCGACACCCTCCAAGACGGCGTCCACAACCTCGCAGCCGGCCAGGTCGGCCAAGGTGGCCTCCTCCAGCCCGTCGGCGACCTTGCCTCCAAGGAGGGCATCAACCGCGCCGAGCGCCAAGGCAAGGACGACGAGGGCGGCTACGTCCCGACCGCCGTCCCGGGCTCCAGCGCCGTCAACACCGCCGCCGGTGGCATCGCCGACGGCGGCAAGGCCGTCGCCGGCACGGCTACTGATGGCGTCAAGGGCGCTGGCAGCTACGTCGGCGGCCTCTTTGGCGGCGGCAAGAAGCAGGAGCAGAAGTAAACCAGCTCGACTTCGCCGTGCCGCAAGCAATTTGCAGTATGATGATCGAGGTTGGGATGAAGGGATAGCAGGCGTTTGTTTCATCTGTCAGGACTGTCAAATAGCATCTTTTTAGTCACGATAATACCCGCTCAGTCAAATGAATTGATTTTCATAAAACCCCCCTTTTATTTTCGATCCTGACCTGGTGACAACCCCGAACGCGTTTCGTATGGGAAAGCAAACATCAAGCCCAGATTCGGATGTGGCGTCCGCGGTCCGAATTGTTTGTTGGACCTACCTCTCTTCCCATGCCCCGGTCGAAAGGGGGTTCCTGTCTGTGGTGGGCGCGGGTCGATCGCTCTCTTCGCCGTTTGCTTGCCCGCAGTTCTGGTTGGGCGGATGCGAATGCCCTGTTCCTGTTGCGTTTGCTGGGCTGGCACGGGCGCGCCGCGAGCCCGCTTCGCTTTTAAGAGTCGTTTGGTTTCCCTTCTTTTTTTCTTTCGCACCTGTTTTCCTGTCCGGTGTGCGCGCGGTGTGTTCGCTGTCTGGTGTCTGCGTTGGTTTGTTGGCGACCTGGACTGTTTTTTTACCGACATGAGTGACGAAAGAGAACGGGCCGGTCGGCTCGGCGTGCGGACCTTGACCAGGAAGACGGTTCGTTTGGTACGGAAACTGACGGGCAGGACGGATCCTGGCAAGAAGGGTCGTGGTTCGGTTGACACTGAGGTTTGGAGGGCCAGAGAGCAGCCGAGGCTCCTCGCTGGGAGTGACTCTTGGTTCACGCTGGCTTCGCCTACCGTCTGCGACGCTTCTTTCGGGGACTTCTGGATCGACGGCAAACGAAGCCACGATATACGAGCGCCTGAACATGGTCAGATTCAAAGCGGACTGTTTGGAAAGCTTCCTAGAGAGATACGGGAGATGGTCTACCAGGAGCTCTGGCGCGATGCCGGGATGAGCCAGCACATTATACGCACCGAGGCCGGGTATGCTCACACCCGCTGCTTGCTCCACCGGCCCGGAGATCCGGAAGAGAAGCACGAGGGTGGTGAGCCCTGGGAGTCGATGTGGATGGTACCGGATGCCCGGGGAACGGTCCCTCTGTGGTACAAGCGGGAGATGTCGACATGGTGCGATCACTGGAAGTGCGAGGAGGCCAGAGAAGAGAACGAGATATGGAAAGATATCGCGAAGGGGTGTCGTTGCGTCAAGGTCGACACCTGGACACCTTTCCTGCCGATGATGTTGACGTGCAAGCGGATGTAAGTGATCCATGGCCCAGACCTCCATCGTATCTTGGTGATGGCAGCCATCCGACATGCTTCAATGTCTAACGAGCTCGAACAGGTATCACGAATGCGCAAGCTCAATCTACAAATCCCTCACATTCACAATAACCGACATCGCCCTCGCCACAGACATCATCAGAGCTCGAAACCTCTTTGGCACACGGCACCGAAGCCCCGCCCATCCCTTCCGCCGCATCAACCTCTCCTTCCGGCGGCACATCTACGAAGGCAGGACCTTTGAGCAATGGGTCGAATCCTGGAGCAAGATCCTCCGCCTACTCGACACGCCAGATCTGAAGTCGGTACACCTCTGGCTAGACAGCGACGTCTTCTACGAGCGGCAGTGGCTCTCCGTGACGTCCAACGTCCTCCGCCGGATCCCGGAGGCGCTGACCCACAAAGCCGCCGTCAGCCTCCCGCCGGACGGGCACCGGGACCGGGTGGTGGGGGCCGCGTGGCTGAGCGACCTGGAGCAGATACCGCTGGCTCCCTCGCGGGGCACCACACTCGCGGAGGAGGCGGAGGAGGAGGCGAAGTGTTTCGGGGTGAGACGGCTGCGGACGTGAAGCTTGCGGGGTTGGACGAGTCTGGAACCCGGGCGGGAACTAAGAAGAGCATGTGAGGGGCATGTGATATCGGGCCCGATAGGTTGGGAGAGCTTTGCTTCAAGGTTGCGATGGGACGACGGGGCACCCGTCGATGCCGGGGCGAAGCGCGCGAAGGGCCTAGAATTTTGGGGGTCTGGAGCCAATGGAGTTGTTCACTCGCCAACCTTGCTGACTGCGATGATCCTGTCACGAAGCCTCTGAGATCTCTCCCCCCATCTCGAAATCCTGCGCACGCTCACAGCCGGCGGAGGGATCCTGGTTGGACGGCCGCACACCACCCTCGGCAAACATGTATTTGACATGGCACGATCTTCAGACGCCTTTCTCGCGTGGCGGCGGAGAGAGCGAAAGTCACGGGAGGAAGCTTTGCTGTGCCTGGCATGAGTGTCTGTCCATCAAGCTTCTCCGGCTGCACGTAAGCTTAACATCAACCACGTAACGCCGTCGCTGGGCCATCGAGGTGCCGCATCGCCGCATCGGCTCCGGTGCGTCTTCGGTCTTTCTAGCCGTCGTCAGCCTGCGGAGCTTACGATTTGCGCCCTGCTGGCGTGAGCTGAACCTTGGAAAAGCATGTAAAGTAACGGCGGGGAATTACTCGGGCGCGCGCGCGCCCACCGGATGACTGTTCGCGAGTATCAATCATCCTTTCTTGGCTTGCGGTTCAGTTGATTGTGGTTTCTTGTTCCGGTATCCGTAATGTCGTGACAACGGAAGCCGGCGGGAATGCGTTGTGTCGTGCTCATCATGCGAGAGTCATGTTGCTACCGGATACCGCGGCCCAAAGTCTAAACATTGTGTCTTCTATTAGAGTACGGGACATGGGTGTTTAGGAGTAATTCCTCCGGAGATGACGGCTTTTTGGTAAATTGAAGCAATCGTGAAGACAAACGTCCGGATCGACATGGAAGCAATCAATTGATAGATTGGTAGACTGGCAACTCACCAAGAATGAAGGGGCCCCGGCCGCCGGAGCGCAACTCAAAGGATATGTGATGAACAAGGGGCTTCCGGAGGTTCCCTTCCAGAGAGCCCACAAACGCCCGCCGAGTCTGAAGCCCGGCCGAAACGGGACCAGATGGGGCCACTTTCGACGGGACCTGAATAATCCCCGCTGTCACCTCCACGCTGCAAGCATCGTGCCATTTCTTTCTCCCCGTGTCTCATTCCAAACTATTCCATGATCCATCGTCACTTTTCGAAAAGATACACCCGACTCAAAAACTGCCTCAAGCATGCCGGGGAAGAGCGAAGCTTGACTTGTTCGGCTCACGGCCGAGAGAGGAGGGGACGAGAAAACGGGGGCTCCATGCACGACCACGCCCAGCGTAGCGGATCCCCCAACCCGGAGGGCCCCAGGTGTCGCCGGAGTGGGACACGATATGGGTGACGAGATCGGAATCTAGATAGCTCATCGGCGGTTCTGCTCGTTATTTCGCGCGAGTCCCGGAAGTTTGCGAAAGAGAGGCTCTGCCGGGGGCTCGGGAGATGGTCTTGTTACGGTCTTTCTAGCGCTGCATATCGTACGTCTCCTTAATTCTCTAGCTTCGCAGCGCCAAACGGAGGGGCGCCGCCGGTTTTGGAGCTTGCATTAGAAAGCCCTCGAAAGTCCCATGTCCGTCTGCCGACTTTCTTAGTCTTTGCACCTCCAGAAATCAAGTTTTCCCATGTTCTGGAATAGCGAAGGGGGGGAAATCGGGGTTAGCCTCTGCTGCGGGTGATGGGTTGTTTCGGGCGGTGTGCAGGCATCGATTGTGGCCTAGTCGACCCGAATCGGGACGGTGCCGAAGAAGACCAAGGCTTTTGCGGTGTTTTTGTGTCTGGGTGCAGCAGGCTTGCTTGCGCCCTTCATCGAGGAAAACATTGCGAAGAAACAGAAAGCGAAGCTATTCGCACTTTTCTGGGGCCAAAGTGGGGTCAGAGTTGTGTGCGTGCTTTGACAGATGTAACGCTGGCACAGGCCGAGCCCATCCTCGACCGCGCTTCATGTCGGGGGCCCGATGGTACCTCGCCATCGCCCTATCTACAATCAGATAGGGCCGCCGAGGATCGAGAACATCTTCACTGCAAAAAGCCTGCTTTTTGGTGATGCATGGCCATGACTACGACTCGCCTCTGTTGGCGGCTACTCTACATTCAACTACATTCCGTCGCATACCACACTGCTTGGCCCATGCTCCTGGTCTTACTCACCTTGAGTTAAGCATACCTTGTCGGCCACTAGCTCACATGAGCTCTTTCGTCTCCGGGGAGGGGGAGGGGGCTGGCTGGGTTAGGTTGGTTTGGTGTAAGTGAGAAGCGTAAAGAAGCTGCCGGATGCGGAAGCAGTTTTGCCCACGTCTCCCACGCGAGGATGGGCGGGCGTGGCTAAACCGCATCGCACTAGCGATGTCCGGGTCCGAGATGCTGGATCCCCCCAAGGTAATACGAACAGGGTAGTAGTAGAAAGCTACCGGCGCGGCGGCGGTCCTATCGCCGCAATGTTTCTTTCGACCCGGGATGTTCATGAGGGTGATGGGTTCGGCGAGTCGGCGAGTAAGCGACCTACATGGAGAACTTCTCGCCGGAGAAGGAGACGCCAGCTCCGGGGTTGAGAGAGGCGAGGAGGTTCTCGCTCGCGGCCCCTGCGGAACGAAAACCACCCAAGCGCCATCACCAGTCAGCCCCTAGTCTTGGTGGTTTTCCTCTGACACTGACATGGCACGGCCCAGAGCTGTTTCGCAGGGGCGACTCGAGAGAAGGGAAGAGGGAGGGGGGTTCCCGCACGGAATGCGTCAAAATGAGTGTGCGGGTTCTGCAACGAACTCCTTTGGTCTGACTAAAGAAAAAAGGACAAGGCTGGCGCAATGCGAAGTGATCGACCCGTTCGCATTGTCTGACAGATCTGTAGTCGAAACCCGTCTTCCCAAGCGCCCACCGTCGCAAAGACTGAGAGCCGCCGTGCCTTCGCGCCGGGTTTACGGGGCATGTCCAACACGCACACACTCTCATGCTACCCGGGTGGCTGGCAAAAAGACGAACAGACAGAGTTGTGGAGGTGGTGCTGTCAAAGTCGCGGATCTGGATCGCTGGTGCGGAAGACCAGGAACAAGTTTCTAGATTGAAGGGGGGAGGGACAATTTGGCGCCCTCGTACCGGATGGGCCGTTGGACATTGCGACAATTTCTGAACAGACGCGAGATAGAGTGCGGGCGACGCGGGCTTGACTCGGGTCTCGTCATTCAACATCAGGAGCTTACGTACAATGTGTCCGTACGGCATACATACACACGATTTCCAAAGAAACTCCACGGCACCTCTTCTCAATCTCACGATGGCTTGCGCAATGTATCCGCGACAGCGAGCGATGAGCCGAGTGCGGGGGAGCGGTATCCCTGCGAGGCGGATTTGAGATAACCAAAATTCCAACTGTGGCCTCGCTCGCGCCGCACGGAGATGCGACGGAGGAGCGAATACGGTGACGGTCGGTCGGTTGGCGCCGAGGGCAGCAGGCTTTGTTGCTTTCGTTTTTGCCGCGCCGCTGGAAGCTTGGCCTTTTTGCTCTTTCGCGCTGCGCTGCTTGTCTATATCGCGCATGTTATAGAGTCCAACAAGGTGAGCCAGCGTTTGCCAGGTCCGGGGTCTCTTCATTTTGTGAACATGGAACAGGGCAACAGGGCGATAACGAGGTGGCATTATAGCCCCCTTGACGATGTCATGACGTGCCGCCTACCACCTTCTGCCTTTACCGTTTCCTTTCACGATATGGATACCGCAATTGCGGTGCCGGGGCGGGGTTCGTTGAGTTGAGTGATTGAGTGCTTTTCTGCATGAGATCGGCCTGGTCGCATCGTGAGGTACAGTCGCATCCGGAGAAGGACCTGCGACGCGCCATGGAAGTGAAAGGCAGAGAGACACAGCTGATTGAGAGTTTGGCCGCCAAGGCCCCGCCATGTTTCTTTCTCCCCTTCATGATGGGGATGTGACGGCCGACTGGGATCATTCTGATGGAGCAGAGAGAAAACGTACATGATGGAACCGACCCCGCTAACGTGCTTCTCTGGGGTGCTTCTACGCATGATCTGATTTGGTGGCCTTTTTCTTCCGCGCCGCAACGCCGCCATGTAGCTAACCTGCCTAGCCGTATGTACTCCAGATGGGAAGGATTGTTCTCAAGCTGCAAGCAGACCGGGTAGAGACTGCGAAAAGGGAGGCGCCAGCAGGCTGGCAGCAGGCTGGAAACTCTCTTTTTGGAAGAATATATTGATTACTGCAGCGACAACGCCGCGATTGAGCCTGGTAATCATGTAATCCGCATCTTGGAGGGCTTTTGCCCGGCACTTGGACATGCCGCTGCTAGTGTACATCCTTAGCTCGACCGCGCGGGGGACGACGATGAGGATGAGGTTGGACATCAGCAGCTGCATTCGTGCGGTCTTTTCTTCCATGCCTCGCGCAAGCTCCGGCGAGAAGAGATGGGAAAAAACATGGGATAGTCTGAATCTGCCGACTTAGACTTCAGGTCCAGACTTGGCTCTCTACGTCGACAAGCGGTCTGACGGGCAAACTCTGTGCTCTTACATCGTGCCTTTCAATGCTGCCAATCCAAACGCCGCCGCCAAACCCCCCGCGCGCGCAAAAACCCGTTCTTGGCAAAGCTCCCCCGTCAAAGTGCCATCGGAGCAATAAGGGCGCCCATCCTTGACCAGCTGGGATGACGAGCGAGCCCACATGGAACGATTGGACCGCCTCTATCGCAACGTCGTGCGTGCTTTGGGTAGACTGGCCTCTGGGGATTTGTTTGCCGCGCCGAGACATGCTGCAGCCTCTTCAGCCCTCGGGCCTCGTGGCAGCATCTCGCAGGAGGAGGAGGAGCAAGAAGGCTTCTGCTGGGGGAAGGGGGCGAATGCGACGTCGGGGTAGGTACTTACACCGCGCTGCTGCAAGTCGAGGGCATATAGGTCTGCTGTCGTGGCGGGCGCTCGACATGGTTTCGTCTACGAGATTCACCCGTCAGGCTGAGATGAAAGTCTGTAGCTATTGAATCAATGACGTGATGGAGGAGGAAATGGAAATTGCAAAAGTCAATGGTTTTCCGGAACGCCGCGCTGCGAGATTGCTCGGCCGCCGGACATTCGATAGACACGGCGCCGAGTCGACCCGGCGTCGGGTTAGTAACATCAAACGGAGGAGCTTGGGAGCTTGGGGAGTGACAGAGCTGTAGCTCTCCTAGCTCAGGTAGCTCTCGTCTTCTTTGTTCGTCGTCGTCGATACCGGCGACCTGCCAAGCTGCGAAGGACGAAAAGGCATGCAACCCCAAGAATGCCCGCCTCGCTAGCGCGGGACGACGACGATGCAGCGCCCTGTCCTATCGCATCTTCCTGCCACCCTGCGTGGGCAGAGATTCTCTCTGTCTCCGCGGACCAGTCAGACGTCGCCTGAAAATAAGGTCGACTGGGTAGGTGGTGCTGCGACCTTGGGATTGGATACGGTACCCTTTCCGGCATGTAGCGACCTTTGTGGATGAGGGGGCAGTTTGGATGGGAATGCGGGCTGAGGTAGGCGTCGTTTTGAGTTATCGTGGCTTGTCCTCAAACGGGTGATGAAATTCGATGGCGTTTTTTACAGTTTTTCCTTCCGCGCGCGTAAAATCATGAGGATGTTTCGCCTTCACCCACGGAGTCTCACCTGCTTCAGCTGAAGGGTAGCCTCCACGATGGAGGCATGTTCGACTCAGCTACCTGAGCTAGCTAGCCACCCGTTCCATTGCAGGCACAGCTTAGCTTTGGTGGCTTACAACCCGAGATCGTAGAACGGCGGCTGTAGCTTGCCGTCAAGAGCCCGCATGGATCGTCGACGCAAGAAGCGACCAGCCGCTTTTTTTCTTTCTTCCCTTCCTTCCGTCTCTTCCCCAGATTCGCCAACGCCAGCTCTATGTGCTTGCTTGCAGCAAGGATAAAAAAAACGCCATGGTCCGTTCCCAGACGGAAGGGAAGCAAGGCGTCTGCGGAGGCAATGAAGCGCGGGCTTTTCTCGCGCGCACAAGTGTCTGATCGGGTCGCAGCCGCACGATGCAGTGTAGCAAGGCAGCCAGCTGCTCCCAAGACCGTGCCGGATCATCACGGGCTTCTGCGGCTGGCGGGCGTCTGTGAAACCGAGTCTGCTGTGCTACTGCTACTACATGGGCGAAGAAAAAAAAAACCTGCTTGGGTGCGCACGTACTGGCGGGATCGGAGAGGAACGGACGGACGGACGGGGGAGAGATGGATGGATGAGGATTCAGGGCTGCTTCAGGACGGGCGTCGTCTGACGGGTTTGTCACTGCGAAACGGGTTTGGAAAATGTGAAGGGGGAGGTTGGCAGATTGGGGGCACGGAGCAGTGGTTTGGACGATGTCTGGGGGATGGTTTGGAGGTTGACCAGGCGGGCGGGCGGGTGCACTTGGGCGACGATGCGGATATCACGGGGTCACTCACGGTTTGGTGTGATCTCGGGCGGGTTGACAGACGATAGGCACAATGTTGTAGAGGAGTGTTGGTGTTTGGCTTTGTGGTGCTGCGTTGTGCCTTACATGTAACGGGAACCCAGGTCGCCTTATCTGATCTCACTTACCTTTTCATAAGAGGTACTTGACTAGACTATTCCAAGCAAAGACTCCGGATGTCACCGCAATATAGACGAAGCGGCGTTGACTGAGAAGGGAGCCGTAAAGTAGCAGGACGCCAAAAAAGCCAAGTTTCTGCCCTTGTCTCGACTTCATATCTCTCCATTCCAAGGATCTGGAGGTAATCTTCTGGCGCATGAAGGGGGGGAAGCACATCATCTCGGGCCGTCGCACGAAGTATCGACGTTTCGAGTTCCCTTCCGTTGTTCCCGTGTAGTTGAAGTGCTGTCGAGCGGGCAGGGAGCCTTCTGGCACGAACAAGCGACCGAACGGTCCAGAGATGCGTGTACCGACGTGCAACGCGGGGGGACTACAAGCATCACATCACAGCACAGCTCACAGCACGGTACGCACAGGTTGGCTGAACCATGTCTCTCGGATCGCCAGCCGGCCGGGGGGCAGCGCAGAGGAATGCTGACGCCGCCTCTTGGTGATGGATGTCTGCCATCTAAGCGAACCGGCCGAGAGAAGGGCGAGGGATGGGGGGCAAAACCGCGGATGCCATTCGCCTCTGGATTCAATGCTCCAGCGCGGGGCCGCCACGTCCGGAGGTCTGGGTACCGGGGGGCGGAAGGGGGGGGCAGCAAAACCTTGGAACGGTCGACGCTTTGCTGGAGCCACAGGGCTGGGTTGGACGGTTCCTTAACGGCGGCGTGATATTGGTATGATTCCTTGGTTAGACATTTTGGCAAGCATACAGCACACGTCAGAGATCGCTGGCGTTGAGATCATTGGTCAAACGGCAGGATATTGGACGCTGCACCGCAAACAGGACGGCGATGTCTGGTCTGGAAGGTGATGGGGGGGTTTAGTGTGGGAATAAGGCCGCGAAGGTCTTGTCCGGAGGGCCAAGAGGCTTGAACTCGGAGGACGGCCGGGGCGTGGGGCTCTTGGCGGTTGAGCCGTAGCGGGGATTCAGTCTTGGAGGCGACTTTTTTTTTTTTTCTGTTGGTGTTTCTCTTCTAAGGAGTTTTCTGATATCGCCTCCCAAGATCAGCCTCTTCGGCCCGTCTCCATATGAACACCCTCGAAAGCTGCGATGTTGGCCAGGGGTTGTGGCTGCGAACTCTCACCGGAAAACGCATCCTCCCCCCACCTTAGACCTGGGAAGGGGAAAAAGTGTTCCTGTGGGGTCATGGAGATGGAAGGAATGGAGACAGACGGTCGTGGGCGAGGCGAAAGTGATAAACGCCAGCGGAGGCGGACTTCGGAAACGGGATTATGGATTTTTGTGGGATTTCATTTTTTTGGGCAGGCGCCTTTCGCCTTGCATATCGTGACCCCGGCGGACACTAGGCTGCGTCTGGTGTTTAGATGTGGAGTGCATGCACGTAAGGCGAGACGGCCGGACATGTAGAGGTGGGCTGAGGCTCTGGATGGGATCGGGATCCATGCCAGGCGGCCGCTGGACGGAATTCTTCACCGTGATGTTCGATGAGGGATGGTTATCATGCCGTTTTGGATGTCGAAAGACGGCATTGTTGAGACGGCGGTGGGGATTTTGGGCTTGTGTGATGGGGGATTGTGATATTGGATATTGGCATGCATTGGCGCTGCACTGTGAGGCTACGTACATACTGTAGCATACATAGATACACATGTTTGGGGCGCGCGTTGCTGATGCTGCAGTCACTTTTGCATTTCCAACTGTGCCTCTCTCTCTTCTCTGTAACTTCCCCACATTGCATGCAAACCACGGACTAGGGGGGTTTGATGGGAGGGGGGAGGTCGCAAACATGAGATTCTGCAGCCGTTGATGCGTTTTCCTGTGTCATGCCCAGAGAAGTCGACCGAGGCTTCGCTGGCCCCCAATATCTTTTCTCTACCAGAGATCAACCGAGGAGGGGCATTACACACACCGAGGGAGGAAACAAGAAAAAGGGTCATGCGCAGGACCATTTGTGGTACAACAACCCCCCGCGCGAGAGATGGATGATCTGAGGTGAGGAACGACGGACAGTTGTCATCTGTCACATCAGACCAGCCAGCACTCCGCCGGGGAGAAGCCGGGGGGAGAAGCCGGACGATTGCCGCGCATCTTACATCACATTTCGACATTGCGACGAGGCTGTCTACGCAGTATCCCCTTCGTTGATGCTCGGTATGCGTGGCAACACGACGGTTCCCTGTTGGGTTGACGCGATGCTGGCTGCGCGCTCGGCAGTCAAGACTCGGTGAGAGCAACGACGACCAACAAGAAAGGACATGTCGATCGCATTTGTCCCCTTGCGTTTTGCCTGCCGGGGAAATACCATACATACATACATACATACATACAATGGCCCACGCGAGACAAGGGGGATTGTCTGCAGGAGGATTCAAAGGGCGGCGGCCTTCTGAGAAAAAACCGGTAACAGACAAAAAGGCATCACCGATCCGATCTCATGGCCCCCAAAACAGGGAAAGACGGGAGGATGGATGAGGTAAAGGCTAGGAACAGGATGACCACAAACAGGGACCAGCGACGGAGACGGGGTGGTGCAAGGAAGCGGGCACAGGGCCAGGGACAGGCACGGCGCAAGGCGGGAAAGAAACTGGATATCGATGATGAAAAAGGGCAGAAAAAAAGGCCCTGGAGATCATTGTGTGCCCGTACATCCAACCGGGTTGCGAAGATCATTGATCGGCTTTCTTTGTGCGTGTTCGTGTACGCGCCGGAGACATTGCCATTGTCAGTAGACGGCGCGAGCGGCAACTGTCAACGCCTGCTAGAGCCTCGCTGGAGCACGCCTGGAGAAGGGAGGAAGGGGGGGCATTACATCAACGGGTGTGGGCGGAGGGCGGTGATTGGCCCGGTAGCGTGGTGATTGTCACGGCGTCCCGCGTGGGTTTATTTTTTAATGGGTTTTTTGGTGTGGTGGTTTGGTTTGGTTTGGTTCGGTTCGGTTCCTGGTTTCGCGGAGGCGCTCTATTCGGCACCCCCATGTCCCCTATTCGGCACCCACCTACTAACAGAAAAAACCGACATCTCAAGTAACCACGAACCTCTAACTACTAACCCTAAGCCCTAACTATAACTATAACTACTTAACCTAATCCTAAAGTATTAACCGCGAGATCTACCGTATCTTTAAGGAATTTTTCTGATTTTTTCCCGACTTTTCCTGATTTTCTAAGAATTTCTGAGCATCGCGCGCGCAATACGTGTAGATGTTAGTGTGGACAGCTTCGCACTGGTTTTAGGTGGGCCGCTGTCTCGCGAGCATTTTCGTGCACGGCTTTTTTTTGTATGGGAATTCTTCCTAAAGAGGCTTAACCTGGTGCCGAATAGGGGACATGGGGGTGCCGAATAGACCTCCTCGGTTTCGCGTCCACGTCGTGTTGAACCGCTGGTAAACTTGGCTTGGTTCCTTTGGTGGCTGACGCTACGGCGGCACGGGAGTGCGACGGTGTGTGGGATTTCCTCGGTGGATTATATCACGATCGATCGAGATGAGAGGCAGGTTTGAATCTTGATTTTTTTGCATCATGCTTGCGTTTCGGCAGAAAGGGGGGAGATGATGGATGATGATGATGGCTGTTGTTAGTTGCTTGGTCCAGGAGAAGCAGAGGCAGTGAGTTCCATGAGTCTCTCTGAAGGACGGCCCATCCGGAAGCTCGGGCCCTGACGGGCGTTTACGTGCAGATTGTGTCCTGTTCTAGTGAAAGCATGTTGGGTGGGAACGGGGACACAGGTGCGCGGCGAGGCTAGGATGGGATGCGAGGTTGGTCTCGCATGTTGTGTGTGTGGTGTGCGATTCCATTCCCGTTGTCAGGCAAGTGGTGAGAGTACGCCAGCAAGGCGACGACGACAGCCGGCCGCAGCGCCGCAGACTGACGGCTGGAGTGGAGGCAGAGAGAGAGAAGACTCCACGCCCAATGATCCGACTTCAAGGGCCACGATGATGGAGATGTGGACTGGGGGAGGGAAGGCTACGGCGGTAGACGACCAATGGAGGCGGAGAGGCAGAGCACACGTTTTTTGGGATGCTAGTGCGGGACAGCGAGTGAGAGACAGACAGACACACGCAGAGACAGAGACATAGACACAGAGAGACGGAGAGAGCGCGAAGAGAGACTGAGACTCAGCCAGACAGAGACAGAGACCAGAGAAACGGAGCCAGACAGACACCACCACCACCCACCAAGAGCTGCCCCGGGCGCATGCAACGTTGGACCGGGGCCCTTGTCACCCTGTCACCTCGTTCTTGGCTTGCCCTTTTCCAGTCCTGGTGTCGGCCAGGACAGCACCCAGCTGCTGGCCTGTCCCCTGCCCACGGCCCTGTCCCTGTGTGGTGTGTATGTGTGTGTGGCCCCCATGCCCCCCTGCCCTGCTCTCTCTGTGTCCATCCCACTCTTTTTCTCTCGCAGTCTCTCTCGCCGATCTTAGTGGCGGAGAGGGAGCGAGACAGGGCGGGTTGTTCTTGGTGCTTGCTGGGTGATGTTCAATCGTCACAATTCGGTCTTTTGGGGGACCACTCTTTCTGCATGGCATTGGCATCGCCGTTCTATTCGAATCTGACGCGGGTTTGTTTAGTGTATTGCATTGTATTGTGTTGTATTGTATTGCACTGTTAGATGTATGGTAGAGTATGTTGCTTATCACTTGTTTCTGGCGTGTGTGTGTTTAGTTGTTGCCGTGTGTCTCTTCTTATGCGAGGCGTTGTGTGTCTTGTCTCTGCCGTGCCTTATCTCTGCAAGATCAGAAACAACAACAACAATAACAACAAAACAAGACGGCGTAGGTCGGCCATCTTTCTCTGCACCCTTCCTCCCTCGACGGTGATCATTGTTTCCCCTCAAACCCTTTGAAGTCGGGCAGTCGGTCCCTTGCGGCGCTGCCACTATCGACGAGACGTGCGTGGGGAGGCATCATCCCTCAAGGGCATGATTGAGATCATCTTCAGCTGCTGGGGGCCCGTATCTTCAACTCCAGCTGTTTTTAGCACCAGTTCTTTTTCTTGCCGTCTACGGTCTACTACGTTAGCGGCTGCTGCTACACTACTGTATATCCGTACATAGTACAAACAGCATATGATCGGTGTGCTCCACTGAGGGTCCTCGTCCGTCCGTCGCTCAGCGTCGTCCCCTGCCTGGTTCGCCCTAGCCGCCTCCGAAGGTCGACGGACACGAGCACACGTTGGAAGAAGCCCGAGAGAGACGAACGGTGCCAGAGCAGAGCAAAAAGCACGCATCATCCTCGATCCCCCTCCAGCTGAGCTGAGCTGCCTCCCGCTAGGGCTTGCAATAGCGCGACAGGCGGGCTTGGGTTGGGGGTCATGGCACCAAAGGCGTCAGATTGATTTTCTCGGGTCTTCATAGTCAAGTGAAGGCAAGGGGGCCCGACGTAATCAATCCGTCCCGCCGGGTTCCCTCAGCGTTCTATCCGTAATTCTTCGTAGAGAGCGAGAGGAGAGACGGGTGTGGCTTGGCTTTTGGGGTGTCGAGGGTGTTGCTCGTTGCTCTGTCGGGCTTCCCGATTGCTTCACTCCACCAGCTCGCCCACCGTCTCCAGTACCTCCTCTGACGCAAGTACCTTACCTTACCTTACGGATACCCTGACTGAGTTGACTGAGTGCTGCAGCTCAGCTGTGAGGTGTGTGTATGTGTGTGTGTCCATGTATGTGCTGCCCAGCCTTCCTTTCGAAAGGTTCCCTGTGGTGCGGTGCGGTGCTCTGCGGTGCGGTTAGGTACCTCGGGCCCGCTAACGCTAACGCTAAGGTACCTTACCAGCCCTGTCCTGCTGGAGGGAGGTACCTACTAAAGGTACCTGCTAAGGGTACCTTATGGGGGGAACTCAACAATTCGCCCGCCTTACTCGCCGAGCCTGAACCCGCCCGAAGCAGAAACCTGAAGCTGCCCGCTGCCCGGGCTGAACCTGCACTCAATACTAATAACCTGCGCCGGCCCGACACCTTTTCTACCTCGCCCTTCCCCTCCTCCTCCTCCTCCCACCAACATCATCACCACCGCTCTTCTTCACCACCACCACCACCACCACCGCCTTCCTTCCCTCCCTCTCTCAACAGGCGACATCACCAGTCAACCTGGATCGCCCGGGAAGGAAGCATTACCTCCGTCAACATCGACACCGACAATAATTACCTACACCCTCTGGCAGTGAGTGGCAGCATCCAGTCTGCCCGCAGAGGTGACCACCTCCAAAACACCACGAACAACATCACCACCACACCTTGACCTCAAGGCCCTGAGGGGGGAACCACCGCCGCAATGTTGGACCCGTCGGCGAGTCGGCGCCAGCAGCCCATGGACTCGTCCGCCATCTACTCCCACTCCCGCACCCGCACCGTCTCCTCAAATACCTTCCCCGTCGCCATCCAGAGCCCGACGCCAATGCACCTCGCCCAGGCTCCCCAACAACACTCCCGCCGCTCGCCCTCCGTCAACACCTTCAGCACCACCTCGAGCGTGCCCCCTCCCGCCGCCTACCGCACCTCCCCCACGACAGACCTCCGCCGCTCCACCTCGTCACGATCAGGCGGCGGCTCCCCGCAACCCACCGGCTACGTCGCCCTGCTCCGCAAGCAGAAGGCCACCGTCTGGTGCGACCGCGCCCAGTACGAAGACCCCCGCCTGCTCGCCCAGCAGCGCGCCGCCAAGATGCGGGCCACCCTCGAGGTTATCGGCGGCCAGCGCCACTCCTCCGGCCTCTCCGCCCCCTCCGGACGCACCAGCACCGGCATCTCTGCTACCGGCAAGGTCGCCGCCAAGATCCGTCACCACGGAAAGCCCGGCGTCGTCGGCTATGCCCCGGGCGACCACCACGTCGGCGTCGGCGGCGTCCCCATGCGTCTCTCCGCCACAGAGGTCGAGGGCGAGGACTCGGACGAGGACGACGCTCGCCTGCACCACCGCCGCACCGGTAGCAGCGGCCGCAGCAGTCTCGCGAGCCGCCGCGGCCCCGGCTACAGGTCCTCGGGCGGCCTGGGCAGCGGCAGCGGACGCAGGTGGAGCCCCGGCGACACCCCCGAGAGGACCGGCAGCCTCGTCGAGGAGAAGCAGGAGGAGACCCTGGGCGACAACGCGAGCGGCAGGGCCATGACCACCGGCTCGTCCGGCAGCAGCGCCGAGAGGGCCGACAACCTGGGCGAGCTGAACATGAACACCAACGCCGCCAGGCTCGCCAGTAACTCGCTCATGCACCAGACCGTCACCCGCGAGAAGAGCGTCAAGGGCGCCGACGATCTCCGTAGGAGGGGAAGCGTCGACGAGCGCACTTCGACGCTTACGGGAGGCCGTCTTTACATTGCCAACCCCGATTAACACCTCTTCACACACCCGAACGAGCTCGAACACACACGATGAGAGGCCCTCGACGGGCCACCCTCGGAAGAACCGAACTCGAAAATTTCTTATTACCTGTTCTTGTACGAGTGCTTTGCCGAGCAATACACACACACACACACACGGTCGTTTGGGTGGGGGGGGGGGGGGGGGGGGGGGGGGGGGGGGGAGACCACCGTTTTCTTTCCTACTATCAAAACCTGCATCACATCGGCGTTTTCCTGGATTTTGTATTGTTTTTTTACTTTTGGGTGGGATGATACCATACAGAGGCCATCCCGAGATCACACACACTCGGGGTTGGATTCCATTGTCTCGAGATTCTCAAAACTCCTCGTCTTTTTCCTCCTGTTTTCCTCAGTACGATCGCTACCCACGGGTTTCTTTCCGCGTGTCTGTATTTTTCTGTCCTGGTTTTATGTTTCCCGAGTACGCGGTCTACTCCTCACACTTTGATGGTTTCCCCCTGTTCGGGTGCCATCCTCTAATCTGCGGGCAAGACAAAACAGTGAGGGGACGGAGAGGGGGACTTTGGTGGCGGAAGACAAAAAGGCACACTGGTTGCGAAGGGAGGAGGATGATACCACATGTTCAGAGACAACCCCCGGATGAACGGAGAGGGGGGCGATGTCTGGGGAGGAGAAGTGAGACAAGACAGACGGAGCTTGAAATGCTCGAATATGAAAAGCCATTCTTGGGCACATGGCGAAAAAACAACCTTTCTTGGAGCATTTTGTGACAATTCCCGCCACGCAGTGAGAATGTGAAGTTTACCTCGGGTCGAGGTCTTTCAGCAAGCAGCACGAATTCGAGTGAGGAATCAGCAGTCAGATCCTCCCTGTGACGGGGAGAAGCTACGCCAGCTGAGTCGCCGAGGTGTTGTCTCTGAAGCTAGGGTAATGCGACATCGAGCTCGACGAACCAGCTAGCTGCATCGCCGTTTCCGAACATTTGTTTGCTCACTTGCTTGCTTCCAGGGTATAGCTCTCTCTCCACGTCCGAGGCCCTGTACCGATATCTAACCACCTCCCCCCGCCGCTTGTCTCGCTATAATTCTTGATAGGTGACGAAGGATGAACCCTTCCTGATCAATATCCCCAATGCCACCTGCCGTCTCCCCGTTGCGTTGGTTTCGAGTCAAGCGTCATATCTGGGGCGGCCATGGGAGGTGCGATCTACGGATGGGATAGCATGTGGGTTTTGTTTGGTGAGGTTGGAGCAGAGAGAGCCGCTTGCGGTGCTACGCTTCTTGAAGGGCTAGTGCTGGTTGGTTGGTGTGGGCTAGGAACGGTCTGCTGCTTTTTTTGTTCCAAACATAGTACACTTTTGACAGCGGACTGCCAAACACGACGTCGCTTGACGGGGCTGCCGTATGAGACGGTGGACTGAGAAGCTGTTGTAACGCTGCGACGGCGTCTTTGGAGATGCTGCTGGGGAGTGCGACCTTACCAAAACTTACTTGGTGAGCAGGTCGGGGTGAACTCCGAGCTGGTGGCCTTTCTTTCTTTTTGGGAATTGTGGGTTTTTAGACTTTCTTGTGGCGCGTTTGGGTGAGGCGAGATTGATGAGTGTTTCTGTAACGTGGTGGTGTTCTTCTCTCTCTCTCTGAAGGGGGAATACGAAGGTGTGAGACTGTAGATCACGACGATGGGACGTTGGGGGAGCTTGGGGGGGGGTGATTGATCTCCGTCCTCTGCCTTGGTTGAAGGTGCCGAAGTTACGACACGATCACCGGTTGTGGTAAGGGAGAGACGATGCAGGAAGAGGGAGTTCTGCAATCGTCGTGCATGGCAATCACAGATCCCCCATGGACGAACATCCCCATCCATCGCCCAGCCACCCTCCCGACACCGTGGGATAGAACATGCACGCCCCCGTCACATCATTTAGGGTTCTGTGCGTGCTTGCGTCGGGCATGAGCTTGGGGCGGCGGCGGCGGCGGCGGAAAGGGAAGCTGTCGATCATCTCGTGTTGCCCGCGAGACGGGACCCCTTCAAGACCGTGGTGCAGTTGGACCCCTAAGAACGGCGGCATCATATGTGGCTCTCTCTCGGGGCGGACGATGGGAGGCACAGGGATTTAGCCCGCTAGGGAGGATATGGCATCATGATGTAACGTTCTGACTTGCGCCAAGGGCTGGGACCAATTTTGGCAGCAACCGGAGGGTGTGGGGACTTTGCGTTATTGGTTTCCGCGTGTTCGTTCTTTGGCGGCAGGGCGGTTGTGGAGATTCTGTTTGCTGCGCTGGTGGGTGGGGCTTGCTCGGTGAGGGCGGCTCGGTCGGCGGGCTTTACCGGGCTGCCGGGAATAAGACAGGGCAGGGTGAGGGAGCCGGGGCCGTGCGGAGGCTGAGGGTGAGCCACGGGTGTGGGTACCAGCCACGGAGAGGTGCTTCAGCCACAGGGGCATCGAGGTTCACATCGGTTATCTTATCGGGGGTGTTAGCGCGTTCTGCGGGGTCGCGTTGCTGGTAAAGAGGTCTGTTAGTGCGGGACGACGGTAAGATGTTGAACTCGGGTCTTGTAATGGATCAACCATACCTGAAGATGCGTCTTGATGCCACGGAAATGTTGGATGTAAGTATGGAATACTCTGTGACTGGTCTGCAAAGAACTTCCAATCTCTAAATGCACAGCTTGCATCTGATATTAGGTCGTTTGACACTTCCACCAACTCCATCACGCCTGCCGCTCCGCATCCTCAGGAAAGGGGTAGCGTCCTAACAGACGCAAAAGCCTCCAACAGACTTTCCCATTTCCACCAAAAGGAGCGCCCCTGCCACTCTCAGCGGCCCAAAGACACGACCCCGGCCTCGCTGACGCCAAATTTACGCGTCCGTCGCGTCTCAGTGGAGGAACAACGCTCTCCTGCCCTCACGCAACCACCAACAACGGCTCCATTAACGGCCCTTTCCACTTTGCCCCATCCGCGATTTCACCTTTTCGAGACCTACGACGCTGCCGCAGCTGTCCCTTTTGCGATCCAAAGACGGCCCAACCCATGTCCTGACGCAGTCGATGCCCTCAATTGGGATCAGACCAGTCTAATCTACTTCCTTCTCGACGTTCCTCTCGACCGCCTCAAACTTTCACCACTTCACTTCTACACCGACATACCCCACAACCTGCAACCACTCACGCAAGCCCGACGATACACGGTCGCGACCCCTGCGACACACACAGCCCTCCGATGCCTTTGTTCGACATGTCACCCAATCTGCAGAGAAAGAACGAGATGGAGAACGGCTTGAAGAGGAGCCACGATGAGTACTCGGGCGACGAGGTCGCCATCGACGACCGCGGCCTTGACGCCGGCGTGAAGCAGCAGGCCACCGAGGGCGTCGTCCAGCCGAGCAAAGGTATCTATGCCCGACGCACCTGCCACTGCAGAGCAGATCAGTATTCTAACGACCCAGCAGCCATGTCCCCCTCCATCGAAATCACACGCGACACCCCTCCTCCCCAGAGCAGCCCGGACTCGCTGACCACCGCGGGCACGACCACGCCAGCACGCGACTCACCATCGCCCAACCCCACACCGACCAAGGCCTCGCCTCTGAAGCAGACACAGACCGCCGGCGCCGCTCCCTCGTCACAACCGCCTGCCTCAACGGCGGCATCGTCGACACCCCAGCCACCTGCTAAGCGCAAGCGCCGCACCGCCGCAGAGCTGGAGGCCGAGGCAAAAGAGAAGGCTCAGAAGAAGAAGGAGCGGGAAGAGGAGAAGGAGGCGAAGCAGGCCGAGAAGGCCAAGCTCGATGCCGAGAAGCAATTAAAGCGGGCCGAAAAGGCAAAGGAGGAAGCGGAGAAGCAGGCAAAGCGGGATGAGAAGCGCCGCAAGAAGGAGGAAGAAGATCGTAAGATCAAGGAGGAGAAGGAGAAGAAGGAGCGTGCCCAGCCGAAGCTCATGTCCTTCTTCACCCCCAAGAAGGCCCCCGTCACGCCAAAGAAGGAGTCGCCGGCTGCTGCCGTCAAGACGGAGAGCCCCGCAAAGGCTTCTGCCGCTGAGTCGACACCAGCGCCGGCGAAGGAGGAGAAGTCAGAGTACGAGAAGAGGTTCAAGCCCTTCTTCGTTCACGAGACGGTCCGCATGGCCAAGAACCCCTTCGAGATGGACGAGGAGGCACACGCGGCCAAGTCACAGATTCTGGACGAGTACATTGACGGCAAGAGGACAATGGACGAGTCGAGCAAGTTCAACCCGGTCGAGATCTTCCAACTACCCTGCCGCCCCGCACCACGAGGCCGAATTTACCCGCCCGTCAGATACACCATGGAAAAGATGCAGAAGCTCACCCAGAAGGCCGAGGGTGCCAGCGAGGAGGACAGGAAGGCAATTACAAAGGAGACCGCAGACGCCCTTCGCAAGATTCCCGTGAAGACACTGCGCTTCTGGCAGGATGTGCGCCCGCCTTACAAGGGAACAGTAACCCTCAGACCGTACCAGGCAGGCAAAGACGGCATGCGACGACTAGCACGAAACCCGACACTGCGCGGGCTTGTCCCCGTCAACTACGACCACGACTCAGAAGCCGAGTGGGAGAGCGAAGGCGAAGATGTCGACATTGACGACGATGACGAAGAAGACCTCGACGGCGACGGCGAAGACATGGACGAGTTCCTTGACGACTCGGAAGATAGTGGACCTGCGAGATTTGTTAGTGCCAATGGACTCGAACCTGTGAGTACGGGAGTCTGTTGGGAGGACCGCAAACGCATGGGCCCGAATCGCACCATGTACGAACACAGGATGGAATTCATTCTCGGTAAGTCACCTTCCCCATTAGACGCGTACAGCCGTTTTAACACTGCTTCAGAGACCCTCGATTCCCGCCACAGCATCGACCCCTTTTCGACAAAGTATTGGGAGCCCGAGCCGAAGCAGAAAGCACCCAAGGCTGCGTCCAAGACGGCAGACACATCAGCGCCGGCCAACGCCTTCCAAGCCATTGGGGCCAAGAACACTCCGCAGACGCTTCCAAAGAAGATCCTGGAGAATAACGTCCTGCAGGAGCTCAAGAAGGTCATCCAGGCGAACCCCAAGATTGCCAAGGGCGGCTTGATCGATCTATCGTACGTTGCGCTCGCCCACGCCAAGGTCTCGCGCAACGACATCAAGGAGGCCATCACGACCATCGCAGAGCGTTCCGGCGGTCAAGGGCGTGCCGGCTCGTGGGTCGTGAAGCCCCTATACCTTGATTAAGGGGTACTGGGAGATGTTTTGCGGATGAATGGCGTTATTTTCTTCGTTTTTATTCTTACTCGATGAGGATACCTCGGCGGACATGTCTTTATTTCACAGTTCGCCTTTTGTCAAAGTTATGGAGTGCATGGATTTTCGGTGGTACGAGGGCATTGGGATGGAGGAAAAGGGCGGACAGCATTGGCATTGTCCCGTCTTATCCTCGACAAGCCGCCGGCACAGGAGCTGGCGGCGAACAGTTTGATTGCTTGCAACGCTGCCTTCATAAGGCGGCTATGATATGACGGCATGAGGGCGGCGTATGATGGAATTATTTGGTCTTGCACGGATGCATAGTTGTGCTCCGACCACCGGCGTTAGAGAGGCTGGTAGATATTAGGAAAAGCCTTATATTTCATTCGGATGCTACAGCGGTACGTGATGTTGTCGTTCGTCTACATGTGACTATACAGACACTACTCCTTGACTGAACGAGCATATCTCTCCGGAAACACCCCATCGATATCAGCCAGGACCTGGATAGCAGTGAACCTGGACTATTTACCGTTAGCATGAGATCAACATGGTAAGGCGGAGCAGCAAACTTACAATCCCCCGACAGAAAATGAGTCCAACCCCAGAAAAGTAGAGATTCGGATCTGCCACAACAGTCAGTCATAATCACCCATCCTCAAAACAGTACTCACGTCCAGAGAATGTCGTAATCCCAATCCACTCCCCCTCCTCATCCACCCCAATCCTCCCAACATTCTCAATCCGCCCCGCCGTCTCCTCGTCCACGAACCCGCTCTCCGCCCACGCCCGCGGCGCGTCCACGTCCCCGAACCCCGTCGCGAACACCACCGCATCCGCCTCAACCACCCGCTCGACCCCGGTGTCCCTGTCGACGACGACCACACCATTCTCCGCGAAACCGCGCGCCTCGCCGCGCTCGATGCCGATCTTGCCGTCTAGTACTAGTTGGAGGGTTCCCGGCTGGTCGACGTAGAACGCGCGTCCGCGCTCTTCGAGCTGTTTGGAGATTAGGCACGGGGCGCGGTCGACGAGGTAGCCTGCCTCTTCAAATTTCTCCGTGCGGGCGGAGTGTTGGGCCATGAGGGAACGGATGGCGGATTGGGCGAGGGTGCGGGAGACGCCGGCGGGGAGGGCGGACTCGGCGAAGTCGGCGGACTCGGGGGCACCCGGGAGGGAGTTGTAGCGCGCGGTGATGACGGGGAGGAAGGCGGGCAGGTCGAGGAGGACGGTGGGGCTGCGCTGGAGGATGGAGACGGAGGGGACGAGCGGGGAGAGGGCGAGGTCGGCGGCGATGTCGTGCGCGGAGTTGCCGGAGCCGATTACCAGGACGCGTTTGGAGGCGAAGGGGGCGGGGGTGTGGTAGGATGTGGAGTGGAGGATGGGGCCGGGGAAGGTGGGTGGTGGAGGGGGCGACATGGGGGGCAGGTTGATGTTGGACGGGGAGACGAGCCAGCCTGTTGAGAGGATGAGGTTGCGCGCGAGGAGGGTGGTGGAGGAGGAGGATGTAAGGGTGTCGGTGAGGTGGACGGTCCAGAGGTTGGTGGTGGGCGACCAGGTGTTGGCGGTGACGGTCACGCCGCCGAAGAAGGGGAGGCGGAGGTCCTCGACGGCGGCGCGGTAGTAGGATGTTAGCTGCGGGCCGGAGAGGAACTCAGGGAGGGAGGACGGGACGGGGTAGTCGGGGAGCTGGATCATGGACTTGGGGTGGTGCAGGCGGATGGAGGCGTAGCGGGCGGAGGACCAGTTGCCGCCGGCGAGGGGCTCGGAGTCGAGGACGAGGCACTCTGCGCCGGCGCTCTCGAGGCGCATTGCGTTGGCGATGCCGTTGCAGCTGCCCCCGACGATGACGGCGTCGAGGATGGTGGAGGCGGGGAGGGAGGGCAGGCCCTGGGCGGAGGAGCGGCCGCGCTGGGAGGATGGGAGGAGGGAGGAGGAGGGGCGTGGGAGGGGGGTGAAGGGGCGGGAGAGGAGGGCGTGGACTTGGGTTGTTAGGCCCCAGATCTTGAACGTGGGAGAGGAGGAGGTGGTGGTGGTGATGGGGATGAGCTTTGCGAGGCCGGTGCAGGAGGTCGCGGGGTGGGCGCAGTGGAAGGAGAAGGGGACCTCGAGGGTGGCGAGGGTTGGGGAGAGTCTGACGAAGGCGGGCTTGAGGCCTTTGAGCTCGGGTTTGGGGGAGAAGGTGGACGGGGCTCGGGTCGAGGAGAGGGATTCCCAGGCGCGGAGGATGGCGGCGCGGCCGAGGATGGTGCGCTTGTCGAAGGTGAGGGTGAGGGTGTCCCTCCACCAGGAGTCTTCGACGAAGAGGTCTGCGAAGGAGGGCCAGTCGGCGTTGGTCACGGCATCGGAGAGGGCTTTGAGGAAGTGAGATGCTTCGGCGGCGACGTCGAGGTTGGCTTCGGAGGGGAAAGGGGGCACGGAGGGGATGGGGGAGGGGAGGTCTGCGACCCTGGTGCGGGTGCGGTGGTTGGTGATGGTTGTCATTGCGGCTGCTTGTTGATGGAGATGGAGGTGATGTTTGAAGAGCAGTGCGGTGAGGTTTTGAGGTTATAAGTCAGGAACTCAAGGGCTTTGGATTCATGAGATTTTCCAAGAAATCCCTGGAGATGTAGGCTTTTTATATTGGATGTAAACACTCCCGCCAGGAAGTCTGCACGTATGATCTCGTTGTTGCCAGTCATATTGCAGCGTCAAACATCTGTAACAATGTGTTATAGGAACTTTGAGCACATCAGCAGCCAAGTGATCCTTCAAAAGAGACAACCCAGATGCAGGTAAGATCTGGAGCGGGAATTTCGTAACAACGTCCAATCATACAGAACTTGTGTTACCGCTCGCGGCAATCTTGAGACTCCAATACTGCGGATCTACACATGATGCATGAACTTGATGCCATCGTCACAGATAACCTGAGGGTCGTACGGCGTGTAGTCTGGGATGTGACGTCCACCCGGATTTCGCGGAGTTTAGGATGGGTCCGGGGATTGCGGGCGAGAGCTATCAGTTCGCGCTATTCCTCGGTTCGTATTGTCTTCGTCTCTGATTCGCGGAGAGGCTACTGTCAGCTAACCGGGGAGCGTGTCTGGACATTGGAAGGGGAGGTCTTCTCAAAGTAGCAATCTTTTATGGCATCCAGACACGTTGATTGGCCCCAGCGGATGTTGTCTTGGGAAAATTATTTCAACTGATTAATTTAGCACGCAGGTTCAATGGAAAAAGCATGCGATGTTCTAATAAACACAAATAGCATGTGAGTGTGTCAACATCATAGGAGAAGACGCAGATGAGCAGCAAGATGGTGATGCAGATGAAAGTCGTGGTCATGGGGGCCAAATTGTGGTCTTGGTTTGGAGATGCATGAAAATTGTTAAGCGACATCCTATGGGCGGGATAGGTGACGTGACAACGTCCTTCCCTCGTCCCAGCCCCCGAAGAAACATTATCATCGGCATCAACACTCAAGTAATCTCAATATTCAACATACATCAATCGCCATGGCCGCAAAGACGTCAAAGGTGGAGCGAACAACCATCGCGGGGTCAATCGAGATACCCCGCATCCTCAACGGCCTCTGGCAGCTCGCCGGCGGCCACGACCAGGACGTCGACGTCGCGGCCGCCGCAAAGGCGATGAAGCCGCTGTGAGCATTTTGCACCGTTATCATTCTGGTTCAAACCCGAAAACATGGACTGATGTCATGCAGCATCGACGCCGGGCTGGACGCCTTCGACATGGCAGACCACTACGGCCCCGCCGAGCTCGTCCTTGGGGAGCACGCCCGCACCGCCGACCGCCCCGTCACGGCGTTTACAAAATGGTGTCCGCCCGAGACCGGAGATAAGTCCTTCGCAACCGCCGAGGCGGCCGTCGACCTCGCGCTGGCGCGGATGGGCGCGGCGCAGATCGCGCTGATGCAGTACCACGTGTGGGACTACACGGACGACACGTACCTGGTCAACCTGGCGCACCTGCGGACGCTGCAGGCGCGGGGGAAGATTGCGCATGTCGGGCTGACGAACGTGGATACCGCGCATCTGGAGATGTTGCTGGATTCAGGGTATGAGGTTGTCTCGAACCAGGTGTCGGTGTCGGTGGTTGATTTGAGAGTTGTGAAGGGGAGGATGGGCCGGGTGTGTGAGGAGCGAGGGGTGGGTTTGCTTGCGTATGGGACGCTGCTGGGCGGGTTCTTGGGGGAGAGGTGGGTTGGCGTGGAGGAGCCGAAGGAGGAGGGGTTGAATTGGAGTTTGAGGAAGTATTTGCGGTTTATTCAGGTTGCTGGTGGATGGGAGGCTTTTCAAGGGGTCCTTGGGGCGGTAGCTGGTGTCGCGAAGAAGCATGGTGTTTCGGTTGCTGCTGTTGCGATGAGGTGGGTGTTGGATGTTCCGGCTGTGAAGGCTGTCATCATCGGGGCGAGGCTGTCTGAGCAGAGCTGGGAGTATGCCCAGAAGAACGTCGAGGCGTTCGGGTTCAAACTTGATGAGGAGGATCGGGCTGCGATTGCAAAGGCGCAGGAGGGTTTGAAGGATATACCGGGCGACTGCGGGGACGAATACCGACGGCCGCCGTTCATGACAGCTTCTGGAGACCTGAGTGACCACATCAAGGAGAGCAATGAGATGCAAAAGGTGGAGGAGGCCATCGCCATGGGGAAGAGGGTGGAGTTTCACTCGGGGAGCAAGTGGGAGCCGATCTGTGGCTACTCTCGCGCGGTGAGGTTTGGAAATGTCATTAGGGTGTCGGGCACGACGGCGAATCCACCGCAAGAGCTGCAAGGCCAGCTTGGTGTAGTTGGAGGAAAGTCTGCAAAGTCGCAGGCTGTTGCGGCGCTTGATATCATTGAGAGGGCCGTGAGACGACTTGGGGGGAGCATGGCGGATGTGGTGCGGACGAGGGTGATGCTTCAGCGGGAGGAAGACGTTGAGGGTGTTTCGGCGGCACATGGATGGGTTTTCAACTGTCGAGGGGTCTGGCCTGCGAACACAACAACTACGGCTGGGCTGATTGGAGACGAGGTTCTGGTTGAGATTGAGGCCGAGGCGGTCGTTGGGAGTGGAAAGTCTGTCGTGGCCATTTCATGAGCAGATCTTACAGTTTGCACAGGAAAGACCATCGAGTCCAAAGGGGCCCAATCAGAGCATATGATGTCAACACGACGCAAAGAGAATATTAATTACCCTGTCGTTATTGTTGTTCTGGGTTCTTGACAGAGCTGGCTCAGATCGCTTCCTGGTGGCCATTTGGTAACATTTACTTGTACACTGTGTCCGCCGCTCATATTAGGCGTTCTCAATATAATCGGGTCACGCCCAGGAAGTGTGACTCAAAATGAGAAACACAAGTAGTTAAGACAACAATGAGGGGAGATTCAGTCACAAGAAAGATCGAGACCAGATTCGCTTCTCACAAATGTCAAAAAAGTCGAAAAATGAAAGGGACGAGACTCGAACTCGCGCGGGTTGCCCCACCAGGAAACAGATGTTAAGCTGACCTTAACCTGGCGCCATAACCAACTCGGCCACCCTTCCGTTGCTGCAACCGCGACAAATTTGGAACCATAGAGCCCACAGCTGGCACCAACTTCATCTGTGAGATGATCGACTGCTCATGGAGAAGATCCCTCAAACCTGAGAGCCTTCGGACTTTGAACTGAAATAGACAAACAACGAGTCGGAATCATCTTCAGAAATGATCACACCCGGGAGTTTCGTACTGTCTTCAGTGCGCTTAGCCTGCAGCAGTTGCAGGGGTTTCAGTGGCTGAAGAGCAGGCCGAGACGAAACTAGAAAATCCACTCCGCAACAACGCCTCCATTGTTGGTTCTGGTTTCCATGCTCCGGTGAACCAAGTGCCTTGCATTTAGGTACCTATCCTTAAAAATGTTGCATTGGTCATAGCTGGTGGGGTATTTGGTCAGATATGACCTTAAATAGCAGCCTGCTGCACCAAACCCGACCACTTAATCGTTTCCCCTCTCAGCCCTCGCTCGAAAGGCACACCCGACACCCAACTCTTATGACTTTGCTTCCAACGTCTGGTATGATGCAATTAAAATTCCGTCCCCTAGAGGAGGCAGACGCGATCAGGCTTTTGGTTCTCTATCCTTCCCACGAGACAACAGCGCCTCTATCCGGCTCCCTGATCAATACCACTCTGTCTGCATGCGACTCAGACTTCGCCAACGGCTATCTGGCTCTCTCGTATGTATGGGGAAAAACAGCCAGCACATCATCTATCCAGATTGACGGGATTGACGTGAGAATCACGGATAATCTGGCGGAAGCCTTGACTCAAGTCCGCAATGCCTACCCCGGAGCCCCCCAGCGTATCTGGGCCGATGCTCTCTGTATCAACCAGTCGGACACTGCAGAGAAGAATAGACAAGTGCCGCTCATGGGCAACATCTACTCTCTTGCCAAGACCACAGTCATCTATCTTGGCCCCTTATCACCCGGGATCGAGACGATCTTCAAGGCTGTTCACGACAGCAAGCCAGGATTCGTCACCGTCGACGCCGCGGGAAACTCCCGAATCGCGCTGGCAAAAGATGTGCAGCAGCTGAAGAAGTTCGACGTTAAAGCCGGCTCAGAACCCCCGGCCGCCGCCATCGATGAGCTGCTTCAACGGCCATGGTTTACCCGCGTATGGGTTACGCAGGAGCTCCTTCTATCCCGCGACGCATGGGTCCAGTGCGGTGCTCTTCGCGTGAGATGGAGAGAACTCGGTGCGCTTCTGGTTCCCATTCTGGACCGAACAAAAGGACAAGGCAGCACCGCTTTGCAACAGATGCAATCACTAAGCTTGGAGGAGAAGGACACCATGGACCGCGTAAGGGCGACGTATCACTGGAAAATTCGCAGCATGTCAAAAGAAAAAAACCCCTCGCTCTCACGCATCCTACGGATGAGACAGGGATGCCGCGCCTCCGATCCTAGAGACATGGTCTTCGCATATATGGGTATGCATGCCGACCGGGATGAAGTCGCCGAGTTCTTCACCGTGGACTACGAAATGCCGCTGAGGCAGCTTCTCATTGCGACCGCCAGGTATATCTACTATCGCGACGGACTGGAAGTGCTACTCCGTTATGTCAAGCGCCCACCTACCAACAACTGGTTGAACCTGCCTTCGTGGGTGCCTGATTGGGGTATCTATGAATGGTCGCAAGCGACGAGCAATACAAATGCCACGATAACGGAGGATGATATTTTACTCAGCGATGTGGAGAAACGCGTGCGCTTTTATCAGTATCATCAGGATCCCAGGTTTATTCGATACGTCAGCCCCGTCCTTCCCCGCCCACAAGACGTCCCTCAGTGCGTGGTGGATTTTGTCAAAAAAGCCGTCTACGTTATGCGACAGTTCGACGAACTGGGATGGGCTAAACGGAAAGAGTTCCTGGAAGTGGAGAACATTTCTTTCTGGAGAGACCTGGACATTAGGTCGTCCGGAACGCAGGACCCCAACCCGATCAGGCTCTTCCCAGATAGCTTCTGGGACTTGGCTGCGGAAGATAAGGGAGAATACTCACGGGAAAATATCAGCGGCATGGGGACGACATCTTACAAGACGATAGTCGCTACCAGGGCATTCCAGACTCTCTCTTTCTTCATGGCTTACGTGGGAAGAGGGATTATGTCTGCGACAGCCTATGAACATCACAATGCCTTCAAGTGGGACCTTTACGAAGGACAGAGAATTCGACTAGCACTGTCTACTGCCGGTTTTGTTCTTGCTGTGCCAGCCTATGTAGAGGTGGGAGACGTATTCATGAGGCTGGACCGTCGCATGCCTACGAACACACTTGGCCATTCCGAGAACGACTACTTTGGCGGTTTGTTAAGGCCTCTTGCAAAAGATACAGGCGACCCTTTGGTAGGGGCCTTTAAGTGGCTTTGCTTTGGCGGTGTTCCTCTTTGGACAGATAATGTTGCGGGTGTATTTACACTGTACCCAACTGAAGTCGACAACGAGGACTTGAAATGGTATGATGAAAAGTTACCCCATGCACCTGGAGAACTCAAGTATATAGAGCTCTGTTAAGGCTAGCTGAAGTTGAATTGGTACAGGTTTATGTTAGGCTGACCATACCTATGTAAAATTTTGCTTCCACGGGGGTCCTCATCTGGATGAGGTAGCTGCTCTATTTATTGCGTTCTAGGGTTCAGCAGATCCTAATTGGTCTTGCTTGTAAGGTATTTGCCATATCTAGACGAAATAGCTCTGCCTACGCGCCACCCCTTACCCAGTTGCACCGCTATCCCAATGTATGCGGTCCCCAAAGCCTCGGTCTGCTCACTTCAAATCCATAGTATCCACAGACTTGAGGATCGTAAACGTCCTGTGATTGCAGTCCTTGTGCACCTGGGAGTGGTCATGGGGAGGATCACACTCTGCGATGGTGCCCGTCGGATGGTGCTTCAAGCAAGCCGGCAGCACGCCGCCGTGATTATTAGGAGGGCAGTAATTCTCGACCTTTTTCAGGCGGTAGAGAAGTGACTCATGAAGCACGGCATCCTTAGGTATATCGCGTGTCTCTCCCTTGTTGAGTGGAAAGCGCACGTTCTCCCATTGGCCGTCTTCAAGCTCCCAGCGCTTGATGAAGGGGAGCCATTCTGTTAAGCCGCGTCAGCAATTATCTTCAAGGACATGAAGAGGACTTACCCATGAGCTTCCACAGCAACACCGTAAAGAATCCCGTTCCGGTGTTGAACGCGAGCGAGTCGTGGATGGGAGCCTTCATCGCCTTATGCTTCTTGTCTGCATACTTGTCCTTGAAGTGCTTCAACTTATCCTCCCGCCATTTGAGCGCAGCCTCGGGGTGTTTCTTGCCCACCTCCTCGACTTCGCCAATCATCCACGCCAGCGCAACATCACTAAGCTGCAACCTGTCGCACCCGATTGCCTTCCCCTTGGGCGGCTTACGCGTGGAGAAGAAGTTCTTGATCGTCTCCCACCACGTCATCTCAGCCTGGCCGCCTTCGAGGGGGTTCTTGTCCGAAGCGGGCCACCCACCGCCGACATCGCCGTGGCACCCGGGGAACCAGACCTCCAGGATGTCCTCGTGGATCTCCTCGCCCTTCTTCATGTCCTGCGCCATCAGCGCGGCCTTGAACTTGACGCGGCGCTCGTCGACGGCGACCGCGTGGCGGACGTGGTGCGCCGTGCCGACGACGGGCACCGGGATCGGCGCCTTGCGCTCGAGGATGGCGACGGAGTTGACGCAGTCCCAGATGCCGAGGAAGTGCACCTTGATGTTGGACTCCTTGCCCTCCTTCTGGTCCGTGTCGCAGTGGGACGAGACCACTTTGCGGCAGAAGGTGTCCGAGAACGCGGCGATCTCGTCGGCTGCGACTTCGAAGTTGTGGCCGTGGACGGCGGGGTCCTCGCCCTCCTGGTGATCGTGGGTCTCCATGTCGGCTTCTGTGTCGTCCAAGAGTGGCTGCGTCTCGCTGTGGCCGTTGCCGTTGCCGTTACTGTGACCGTTTCCGTTGCCATTACCGTTGGCAGCGGCGAGGGCGGCGGCTTTTTTGGCTGCCTTCTTCTCGGCCTTCTTGGCGGCCTTCTCCCTGTTCTTCTTCTTGGGGTGGGAGACGATGAAGTCCTCAACCTCGCCGGCGAGGTAGCGCTGGTAGAGGCGGTAGGCGAAGGGGACCATCTCCTCGTTGCCCTTGCAGAGGAGGCCGACTGTGCTGATCATGCGGGCAAGGAACTTTGCTGTGAAGGCGCCACGGCTGAAGCCGAACATGTAAATCTTGTCCCCCTTCATGCATCGTGTTAGCTTTAGTAGCATATAATAGGAGGAGAGGCTTACGGAGTCGTAGTAACGCATCAGAAACCGATATCCGGCCATGACGTGGGCATCGAAAGTGTTGCCGATGCCTTGGTCCACGGTCTGAGAGATGGAGCTTTGAATCTCACCAAACCAAGTCTTGTTCACGGACTTCTCATTGATATCGTACGTGCCGATTCCGGCTGTTGAGTGGCATCGATCAGAATCAGAGAAATGATTAGTCAAGATGAGGAACGACTCACTCTGGTAGTAATGGTACTGGTCAGGGTCGTTGCGGTCCAGCTTGCT